GGTTTTCACGCACATCACTCATTAAATAAAACTAGTTTTAACGGGACCGCTTTGTCTTCAGACCTTCCAATCGGCGGATCTTAGCGGTTTCCAGCCCGTAGTGGTTAACATATTTGTTTCTTAGGTTTTCACGCACATCACTCATTAGATAGAACTAGTTTTAACGGGTTTACGTTCTTTTAACGTTTCATTCTTCTGACGATGCATACCTGAAAAGGCTGTGAAACGTCAATAAATAAATAAAGTTCGTGCATTAACCCGTTAAAACTAGTTTTATTTATATTGATTATTATTTGTGTTCTATATTGTTTCTTTTTCACTCACAGCTTATCTTGGCCATCATTCGTGCCGCCTTTGTTGCATTAGCAGTAGATTCTCTCAAATACCCATATTTGTTCCCCGAAAATTTAGAAAAGCTCGCGCTATGGAAGTTAATATTCTCAGATTACGTTGTTTATAATAATGGTGATGACGGGGTACAGTAAACGAAATTCTATTTAGTCCGTCAGTTAGATGATCAAGAAATAATGGACACGTATTTTTTCTTTTTCAATCAACCAAAAAATGACAAAGTTATAGCGCGTCAAAGTTTGGGAATAGTGGCTCGTGACGTCACTTTTAAGTGAAAATTGTACTAAAACGTGACGTCATGCGACTTTTCAAATCAATATATCTCTGCAATGTTTATATTATGTGAAAAAAGAAAAAATATGTGTCCAATACTTTTTGATAATCTACCTGATAAGCGAAGGAAAAAAAATAGTCTTCATCCCTTTTAACATGAAGTTAAAGATAAGAGAAGACGTTATGAAAGAGAATGCTGGGTCGCATCTTTTTAAATCGGATCGAGCGCGCAACGCGACTTATGTTCGCTGTGTGCATTAGTGCGCCTACGAGTAGTCACATGAGCTCAATATTTTTCGGGGGCAATTCTGTACTTTGACGTTATTTCAAAGAAATCAATTGACACGCTCTGTCTGACAATTAACAGTTAATAATCACAGAAACCTTAAAAAAAATATTATAATAACTAAAATATATTACTAAAAGTAGTCCCTTCCCAGTAGGCAAGGTTCCGAAGATACTGGCAGCGTCCCCCCTTTGAATAGCTAAACTAACTCTTTGTCCGAGGTAGCTGCCAGCACTTCGGTCTCTGTACTTTTGTCCTGTCCGGAGTCTAGATATCCTCGGTTCTTGGGGGGACATTTTGTGCGGGGTACATTTAATCCATTGTTTGCGTTACTCGATGCTGATGTAAGCGTTTAAGCGATTTAAGCGTATTTTAGCCTGTCCGGTCTCTCAGTATCCTCGGGACCTTTAATGCCTCGTGTACTTAATGCAGTTAAAATCGATCTATTTTGACCTCAGGGAAGTTAGCCCCCTACTTTTTGATTTTTTTATTATCCGGGGTGTTCTAAATTATTCTTTATTTGTTCTACATTGTTCCAGAGTTTTATTTGAAAAAACAAAAATTTGAAGCTACTAGGCAAGAAAAACGTGCCAGCTATTGGGTAATTTACCCTATATTGTAAATGTTTTCTTGTCTTATAACTATTAATTTTGTTCAAAATGATCAAATGAAATTGGAATGATATAGTCCACGGTTATTCTGATAAAATCGTCATAAATCATTGGTGATTTATTTATGGTTACTAGGGGGTTTTTTTTTAAATATGGATTTTTGTTTTACAGCTTCAAAAAAAATTTTTTTTTTCAAATAATACTTTGGAATAATGTTAGGAACAACTAGAACAACTTGGAACAATTAAAAAATATTGAATTTCCGAACATGGGGGGCTACCATATTTTTTTTGTCTAGTAGCGTAAAATTTTTCTTTTTTCAAATAAAACTCTGGAGCGATGCAGAACAAACCTAGAACCATCTAGAACAACCTGGGAAATAGTAAAATTCAAAAAGTGTGGGGCTAACTTCTAGAAAGAAGAAGAGGTTCTATTTTGGCAGACAAAAATGACCGCGGACCAAATCCCTCATCTGCGCAGGCTATTAGACGTAGTTCGGGTCCTGTCCACACACGAAAAATAAATATTCATTCCCAGGTTCTTTGTAGACGTAATTGTAGTGTCCACGATTTGGGTATTTTCCCCGAACTTCGACCTGTGTTGTTGACTGATGGACACCTAACCGCCTCGCCCGCCCGCCCTGGCGGTGTCAGTGGGCGGGTAACGGGCGGGTGTGGCCCGTTACTAGGTCACGGGGACGCGGGGTGCTGCAGTATTGATCTAGGCTGGTGCAGCGGGGCGTTTCTGGCTGGGAATGAAAATATATACTATCCGAATTGACATCTGAAAGTTTATAATTTTTATTTTTTAAGCATTTTACTGCTTGATGTTTAAATCTAAAGAAAATATAACTAGAAAAAAGCGTAGAGTGCAGGTTCGAGTCCCGTCTGCTGCCTGGTCCATCTGAAAGTTTTTTTGAATCGTCCAATATATTTTTCCTCACGCCAAGGGGCCTACCGCCATCTGGATTGCTATGGCTATAGATTTAGCTTATGAGTTTTATTTTGCTATTTCTGACCACCGAAAGTTTTCAAATACCTTTAATATTGTTATTACCAATGCAAAAAGAGCGCGAGGCATTTAGCAAAATTTTTTAGCAAATAACATAATGAAATCATAAGATATAGCAATAGCCAAAGCAATCGCGATATGCGGTATGTCCCCTAAATATTTTTTTTGACCCCTTGAAAGTTCTATTGAATCGTCCAATGTAATTTTTCTTACACCTTTTTAGCTAATAAGTATAACGAGTTCAAGAAAGTCGTGCGTGCATTTAATATAAGTACCTAACATTTATATCTAAAGACATTAACTCTACCAACCCCGCTGATGCAGCGGGGGCGTGTCCGGAGGCCTACTCTAATACAACGAACAATTAAAATTATGGTCGAAACTACACACACTTCTAACTATGCTTCTCATTCGTTTCTAATTTTAAGTATAAGTTTTATGAATAAAGTTGCCAGTTACAATCTTTCCACAAAGAAAAGTTATTTTGATTCTTACAATGCATTTTTTTAACACCTTTTTTGAACATGTTTTATAGGTATTAAGAATAACTGATCAGCATTTAACAGAAGTAACATTAATATATAAAGAAACTCTGTCAATGTATTAGGCTGGAGGGAAACAGCGCCTTTCATAATCCAATGTATTCACATTGGATTATGCATTCGCACTAACTGCTAATATAACTCATCACATCAGCATTTCACAAAAGTAACATTTGGATCTAAAGAAAGTTTTTTCTATAAATAATCAACTCGGTGTATCAGGCTGGATAAAACAGCGTCTTTCACAATCCGGGCGAATGCACTAACCGCTAATAACTCTTCAGCATAGAAGAGAAGTAACATTTATTTATTATGAAAGTTTTTATTAGAAATAAGCAACTCTGCCAATGTATAAGAATGGATGAAGCAGCGTCCTCCATAGCGTCATCATAGCGAATCCCCTAACCGCTATGCCACTGAGACCCTAATGTTTCGAGTTACATTTTTTTTATATAAACATCAGTCAAAGTTTGTTATAGTCCAAGATCCCAGACTACACACGTTAGTAGTAGAAAGATATATTTTTTATATAAAAAAAAATATAGCGCCATTTGGCGAGACTCTATTTAACTTTAAGACAGGGCACAGTGTATTTAAAAATCCACTTCACACAACTCACAGGCTCACAAGCTCTAGATGGCTGGAGCGGCACACTTTCTGCCTCATCATCTATCTTCGCCAACAGACTCCACTTACACTTAACATCAAGTGGAGTAACGTAATTTGTTGCGCCTCGTATATAAAAAAGTCAACTGTTATTTAGTAACTACGTTAGCAGTTATACCAGCCCCGTAGCATGAGAGCCACAATTTACATTATATCACGTCATTGTATTAGCGTCTAACTGTCAAACTCCATACTAATTTGACAATTCAGCGTGATAAAATCGAGCTACATATCATATCGTGGTGCTCATAAAGTTCATATCATTTTTTGCACCATATTGTTACATTGATCTTAGATAGAAATTATAATTATAGATACAAACATGACCCTGCTAGGGCATTGCAAAATAGTAAATAAACATTTTGTACGTATTATATATTAACATTATTTATTGATTGTCACTATTTGAAAATTATCATTATTCAGTAATTAGTTATTAATTGTTAATAATTTATTAAGATTATTCATTTAAAAATTCTTGCAGCGAATAAGAACATTTTTTAACAAGGTTTCATGGTAGGAGGGCGGGGTTTTAAAACAATTGTATTTTAAAAATTCACTGTCATATTGTTACCCTAACATGCTGCATGAAACTGCTACTAGTTTCCTGCTCATAAATTATTTGCTGTCATAATTTTTCTCTAACGTGCCAACATAGAGCTGATAGAGCCGACGCGGCCAGAAGCGGAGCAGATACACAGCTTCCCCTCTTTCTAGTTGGGTATACAAGCAATACACGTGCGCAGGATTTGGCGATGTATTGTGTCATTGTTTAATATTGTTGTGTCAAACAAAACTGTAATGACAGTTTTGTCTCAAATGCCGACCATTTTGACAGCCGCCGTGGCCGAATGGTTCGTACGTTGGCTTATGGTGTCGCCTACTCGAGAGGTCCCGAGTTCGAATCCCGGTGGGGGAAGATGTTTGTGTGATGAATACGAGCATTTGTACTCCAGTCATGGATTTTTAATATGTATGTCTATATAAATATACTTATATATGTACAGTATATCTATTCTATGCGTAACCCTAGTATCCCATAAAATAAGCCTTACAGTGCTTAATTTTGGGCTAGGTTTTGTGAGTGAGTGAGTGAGCAAAATTAAATGTGGGTACGTTCAACTGCGTGTGTGTGTTGATTCCCCTCTGCAAAATATGACCGAATGATTTAAATATTTTGAAGTCGCTATGGCTACTCCGTTCCGTGTCCCTCCATGGTGCCAAATCAAGCTAATTATAACTTCAAATAATTCTTCCCAGATGGACATATACATCCAAACCGCCAGCCCCATAGTAGAAGAAGTCCTGCGCGGGTACAACGGCACCATATTCGCGTACGGGCAGACTGGCACCGGCAAGACTTACACCATGGCGGGCGCCAACGCCGCGCCAGAGCTGCGCGGGATCATACCCAACTCCTTCGCGCACATATTCAGCCACATAGCCAAAGCTAACGACGATGAGAAGTGAGTACACACCAGTCCCCGTAGCATGAACATCACAATTTACATTAGGGGCCGTTCAAGTATTACGTAAGCACTATATGGGGGCAAATCCCACTAACCACCCATGGCCTGACACACCTTCTTGGTTATGCAGGCCGAAGGAGCGTACTTTCTGGACTCCCTACAAATTGTTCTTTATCTGTCTCCTTTGTCCCTATGGTCCCTCTCCTCTTTCTGGGGCGGACGCACACGAAACGCCTTCGTCGCAAATTCCAGCCGTCTCGTGCCCACTATGAAGTGGTACCGCTAGCCTCCAGTATTGCTCCCTGTCTTCTTTCTTGGCCTCCCTCGAGTCCACTCCGAATCCTGTGCCATCTACGCGCGAAGTCCCATAGATGCCTGAAGTTCGCCTCCGATCTCACAAGGTCGCGAATATATATAATTATAGGGGGGCAGGGGTATTTGCTTTTCTTATTTTTGATGACATAGGGGGTCGAGATAGTAATTACGACAGCTTCATGGATTCTGGTGCCATGGACTGAAAACTGTTAATTGGTATTAATATATATACCAAGAAATCAAAAGAACTTTGTTTTGTTCGTAATAGGAAAGTTTGTTTAAATTAAAGTACTGCTGCACATGAAAGCTCATGAATCAATAAAACAAAATAGAATAAATTATAATTAATAATGTTAACGTAAGCATGGGGGGGGGGGGGGGGTTAAGAGCTTTGCTGACAAGGGTAAATAATTGTAGTCAATCTGCTTACGTAATACTTGAACGGCCCCGGGTCGCCGCAGACGGGCCACCGGCCACAACCACAAAACGCCGCCACCGGCATATTTCCTATAGTTTTCATACATTTTATACGGATCGTGTGCGGCGACACGGATAACGCCGGTGGCCGCCTCACGCTACAAATCGTCATTGCTCGCTTCTTGTGGCCCGCACCGGCCACTAATGCGTTGATACAAAACGCCGCCACACGCCACTCGCGCGTTTCCCCACCTTCACACCTTTTTCGTTAGAGTCCATTATGATACTGCACGCATGTGTTAAAAAAAGTATCAGCCACCGACGGCAAGGGTCGACTACAGGCCACAAGTGGCTGTCGTGCGCTTCAGCTACCTTTGTAGCCGTTTGTGGCTGTCGCGTGTGGCCCGTGTGCGGCGACACTAATATCACGTTTTTTTATCGGGTCTAACCAACGATATTAAATACCCTAGATACACCATGTCCGCTCAATAATGTCTCATTTGCTTTAAATGCTTTAAATTAACAAACATCTATTAGGTCGAAAAAAACGACACTTTACGTAACGTTCTATAAGTATTTTTTCGCATTTTTTCACGGAGCTCCGCGGCATCTTGACTTTTCAACGGTCCGTGTGTAATTGTGAACCAAGAAGTGCTTGAGTGGTGTTCAAGCACTTCTTGATTGGGACACATTTTGAGCGCTCGTGGTGTATCTAGGGTATTTAATATCGTTGCATACCGTCAACAATAAAAAGAAGAACATGACATTAGGCATCAGGCTCCGATGTCTATGGTTGATGTTCAATCAATTTATTTATTTATTGTGTACACACAGAATAAATTATTTTATAAGTTTTTTATGTCCTATATTTATTCGTATTCCTCTCAGGTTCTTGGTATGCGTAACATACCTGGAGATTTACAACGAAGAGGTGCGCGACTTGTTAGGCAACAATCCGCACCAGAGCTTGGAGGTGAAAGAGAGGCCCGACATCGGCGTGTTTGTCAAAGATCTCACAGGTAATAAACATTACATTAAATAAATATATACATCTACATACATCGTCCTCAGGCACGATGGAGTGACGATTTGCGCAAGGTGTCTGGCAGGAGCTGGATGCGAGTAGCCCAAGATCGATCTGAGTGGCGTGCATTTGGAGAGGCCTATGTCCAGCAGTGGACTAAGATACGCTGTTGATGATGATACATCTACAGGTGCTGTCCCACGATCTATGTTGTTGCGGACGAGGCCGCACCGCGCATACATGATATCCCGGTCGGGATCCTCAAACCCGGTAACGCTGTGAAGGTCACCTGCGACCAACAGCATACACACTCAAAAAAAAAACAAGTAACTTTTCTATCGTATAAGTATATCATTTCAAGAAATTTGTTGTATTAAACTTCCATAACTTAGGTACAAAGTCATTATAACATACTACCCGGTCACGACTTAAGGCTTAGCAAAGTTAGTCTGCGGCTCCGGAAGAGATTTTAGACGTAGCACTGATTTTACTGGTCGTGAATAACTTCTAAGACTGTTCCATTTTACAGATTATCATGTCATTTTGTCGTATAAAACCTGTTTCGATTCCACAAGAAGAAGGCGTTATATTTGGTCCCTCGAGCCGGATCCTTCCATAGCACTCTAACAGAACAAATAACAAATTATATGGAATACGAACTGCGTTAAAAAGTGTTTCTAAGCGCCGATCATGGGATTGGTTGATATTTCCGTTTTACATTATCTTACCCAATGAATGGATAGCCGAATTCATTTGCAGACATTTGATTTGTTAAAGTATTTCGTTTTGTTTGTGTGCGGAGTTTTTGGCGGGATTTTATCGAGAGCGGTTGGCGACTTATTTCATTTTTTCTTAAATTCGTTCATAGTGGATATTGTGAAATAAAATGGGTGTGATTTTGTGTTACAACCGTCTGCGCAACTGAAGAGTTAACGGAATCTTTAAAATATTCGCTATACCGGTCAAGTGGACGTGAGAACTTTATTGTAGTGTTAACTACCTCACAGAAGCTTGTCGAGAAAGCTGACTCGATACATTTTGTGCCAAACACTCCATGAAACATTAGAATGCGTCACGCCCACATTCTAATGTAGAAAAAGGAAGATTAATCTATATATATAAAACTCAAAGGTGACTGACTGACATAGTGATCTATCAACGCACAGCCCAAACCACTGGACGGATTGGGCTGAAATTTGGCATGTACCTGCATGCCAAATTTCAGATGTTATCACGTAGGCATCCGCTAAGAAAAGATTTTGATCAATTCTACCCCCAAGGGGATAAAATAGGGAATGAAAGTTTGTATGAAACTTTGTCAATTTTAAACCGATCGGGTTGAGACTTTGCTTGCAGGTATAAGAAGAATCATAGATGAATGTCATTGTGTGTAATACCAGCCTGAGAACAAAAAGTGTAGTCTACACTTCAGCTCTACACCGAAGCGAAGCGAGGGCGGGCCGCTAGTATAAAAATAAGACGATGGCTGCATGGCTTTAGCCTTTGCTTTTCCCAATGGGGATGAAGCTTTAGTGTTGAAGTTTAGTTTTACGATTTTGTAACCATGTTTTAGTGGTGGTACCTCTGTTATAGGGTAATGCTTCCATATAATTTTTCCATTTCTGATTCGTTGCTCTTACACTTTCAGGGTACGTGGTGCACAACGCGGATGAACTGGAGAAGATTATGGCGGTCGGGAACAAGAATAGACAAGTCGGAGCCACTGCGATGAATACGGAGAGCTCCCGGTCTCACGCTATATTCAGTATTACTGTGGAGTCGAGCAAACGCGGCGCCGACGGCAAGATGCACGTGAAGATGGGGAAACTGCACCTTGTGGACTTGGCTGTAAGGCTCATTTTGGTTGTGTCATTTATGGCTTTATGCTCGAATATTTATGGAGAAGGTATTTATGCTCGAATTTTACCCGTCTGGGGTAAGAATACTGAAAACCTTACTGAAGACCACTCAGGTCTGTCCCTCTCACATATGATGCAAGCGTCTATAGGCTATGACAATCTTTTATTATCACATCAGCAGTGTTGCCAGGTCTCGCGATTTTACAGCAGATCTCCTGATTTTCTACCAGAATCTACTGTTCCTCTTAGAATACGATTTTCTTTTTAAATTGCACGTTGCCTGGCGTTTCCCGCCATTAAGAATGTAGGTTACCTTAATTAAAATAAAATAAATATGTTATTGTCTAAAAAACGAGCTTACAGGGGCGGGGGTACAAATCTGAAAAAGTGCGCCTCTGTATCTACTGTTTTTTCTTGTAGCTCTTTCCATGCATCTACTGTTTTTTTCTATAACACCTCCCGATTTTTACAAATCACACTGCACTGCACATCAGGCAGTGAAGTATTTTTGTTTGTCACCAATTTTACACACGTTTAATTTGTATAACAGTGCACAGTTAAAAAGTGACGTCTTCCTAAATCTAATATGGCGGACGGCCTTCGAAAGCTGGCTATAATTTTTGTCCACTTTAATGCATGGGTATCAAATGAGGAGCTGGCGAACAAAACGGTATAATTACATAAAATTAAATTTTACAAGAGCTGTATAAAACTGAATGACATACCTTCAGTGAGGTTTTGGAATGGTTTTTTATTTATAAATTTAGTAATTTAAACACTGTTTTAGGCGGTTTTGATTGAAATTTATTTGAGATTCAAATTCAACAGGCCTGAAACCTCCGGACTGTAAAAAAAAAATAGTTTGACCAGATGCGTAATTATACCGTTTTGTTCGCCAGCTCCTCAAATGACAGTTTGTTGAGAAGAACAAAGTAAAGTCTGCGTATAATAGGGTTCTAGAGAATGTTTAGAAAACGATCTCAGGTTATTTAATCATGTTTATGGAATCCATAAAAAGTCGATATGCATAACTTTGTTGTGTATTTCAGTAAAAAAAAACTTCAATTTTCAAGTTGCCGCAATAACTTTCTTCTGGAAATTATGGCGTCTTAATGATCTGTGACGTCACATGACTGTCATTAAAACGTCAAACGATACAATGTTATGTCACTTTGCTTTTGAAGTTAGCTGGCGTGTGACGTCATTTTAGTTTTCGCCAATCCCAGGCGTTTTCGGTCACGTGACCCTAGAACAAAAAAGGCATTTTTAGAAAAGTTATTAATTATTTGTTCTCTCAGAATAGTCAAATCGCAGCTTTTATATTCATATTAAATACAGATGCCAACAATTGGTACTTTATTATTCCTGATGTGAAATAGCCTATTATAATTTGAATTAACTGTTAAGAACAGCTTGCAGAAGCCAAATTGGATTGAATTAATGAATTCATATTGGAGTATATCGAGGAGCTAAGTATGGCACAAGTAGTAAGCACTTTCAGCTGCGATCGTTGAAGTTTAGCAACTTTCGCAGTTGTCGGATGGGTGACCAAAAATTTAATATTTCGTTCCGTGCACGTTAAGCCGCCCGGTTGGTCCCGCCAACGGCTTAACGTGCCTTCAGTCGTTAGAACCCACAAATCCCCACTGGGCCCGCGTGGTAGGTTATTGCTCAATCTGCCTATTCCATCCATAGGAAAGACCTGTGCCCCAGCAGTGGGGACATTAATAGGCTGGTGATTATGATGACGAATGAATTTATATCGGAGTATATTTATTTATTTATTGCACAAAACAGAACTACAACAAGCAAAATGGTAAAAGATACTAAGAAAAGCAATTGATAAAATAATACTGAACTCCACTAGCATCTGCAAACAGCATGCTTATACACGTATATTACACAGTAACCATGCATCAAAAATTCTAAATTTTAATAATTAGATTAACATAAAATTTATTTATAACAATTTAAATGAGATTAAGACACACACAATTCATTAATCAAATTAGAAATAGAAAATGGAATGAATTATTAATATAGACATTATTAAATTAAATTGAAAAAAAACGTGAATTTAATCAATAGTGTTAAACAATTGTAATAATGATTGTATCAATGGTATTAAATATCTGTTTATCTCTTTCCGCTAGGGCTCGGAACGTCAGAGCAAGACTCAAGCCACCGGCACCCGACTCAAAGAAGCCACTAAGATCAACCAGTCTCTATCCGTACTGGGTAATGTTATATCAGCGCTCGTCGACGGCAAGTCTACGCATATACCGTATAGGAACTCCAAACTGACAAGATTGCTGCAAGACTCGCTTGGTGGAAACTCGAAGACTGTTATGGTGAGTGTGAAGAATAATAGAATAGAAATATTTTTGTTGCACTCACAGTAATACATAGTACAATGCGATATAGCGTGCGTGCGTGCGTGCGTGCGTGCGTGCGTGCGTGCGTGCGTGCGTGCGTGCGTGCGTGCGTGCGTGCGTGCGTACGTGCGTGCGTGCTAGCGTGCGTGCGTGCGTGCGTGCGTGCGTGCGTGTGTGTGTGTGTGTGTGTGTGTGTGTGTGTGTGAATACAGATATGAAATGAAAATTATTACTATGCGATTTAAATAAGAATAGGAATGCCCAATGACCTCCCTCCATCTGTAAAATGTCGCTTAAAAAGTACGGTTTGCAAAGAAAATCTTGGAACACTTTTTTAGCACTGAGCTAATGTTAGAGTAAATACCAAACATTTGTTAACAAAAGAAGGAAATAAATCATATGAAACGTATAGCGAATGAGTACTGGAAAAAGGAAATATATAGACCGTTACCGATACAGGTAATAAAAAGATTTTAAATAAAGTTGTCGTTTTAAAACCTACAATATAATCGATATTTTGTCAAATAGCCGAAAGCAGCAGTGATGATGATGACTACTCCGATGGTAGTGCAGAGATGAATGGAATTAAAGAACTAGATTCTGATTAATTCTCTTCTCGCTCAGATTTAATAAATAAATATTATTAAAAATCTGATATTTTTTCTCACTTAATCTTGGTAAATAAGTTTTATTAACGAAAAACTTTTTTGCTCACTCTATCTAACTTGTTGGAAATGACAGCTATGACGTCACAATATGGCGCCCAGTCGGTCCTATTCTTAGTGGAATCGCATTGTACCTTAGAGCAGTGGTTCTTAAGAGCGGTGGTCCCTGGAAACACCCTTAATGGTCTGGAAAGCCATTGGAAAAAATATGGTATAAGTAATGATTAGACATCGGATATTATGCATTTGCATATGCAAATTCATATAGAGGCAGTCCTCGTACTAACGGCAAGTTAGTTTCTCGAAATACGCGACGTAAATCGAAACAATGTAAGTCGAGACATCCCCACGGACGCCGGCCCCACGGACATTGACCTCGCGACAAGTGAATTCTCCTATGCCGGAAATCGAAACAATTGACGTATGCTTGACGAATAGTGCCAAAACATTGTTCGACGTAACTTGACATAAATCGAAACGACGTAAGTCGTATTGGACTAATTGCGGCGTTAATGCATATTTTAGCTTTTTCCCCCAATCGTGCATATTTCGTTTAGTAGCGGAAGAGACATGTAGGGAGTAATGGCGCAATTACATTTGGTTGTTAGCCCGTATTCGAGTGCACGAAATACATTACCAAGTAACTGCAGGTTACTATGACCTAAAATGTGCACTTTTTTTCAAATAAAATTGTAGCTTCTCTTTGTGATGAATATGTCACGTTTATATCTTTCCATTGTGAACTTTAAAGTATAAGTTACAAAGTTACCATAGGAAAAAAAAATATTTAAGGGTTCATATATATTTTTTTAATTTTGGGCCAATGTTGGCCTTAAAGAGGGTTACTTTAGCTCGTTGAGTTTTCTCTGTGAAAAAAACTCATTTTAAGTCATGTTGGGGTTAAGTAACCCTTATAACAGATCACCATTAGCATACTGAATACACAAATGGATGTTTATACCCAAAAATAATTAAGTTTAAGCAAAAATTGTAAACTTACCGAAAACCACAGTTTTGAGAAAGTTTGCGCGTGAACTTGCGAACTATTTCAGTTACAAAAATTCCCGCTTTACAATGACAACTTGATACAGGAACGATGTCGGTAAAACAACACCACACTACGCGCCTATATGGCTATCTGTGATTTTCAACTGGAACTATTACGGTCACCCAAGAGATACTGATGGGGCGGCAAGTTCAATATTTTTTCTGATTTGGGACAAAGTTACCCGCCCGAGCTAAAGTAACCCTCACTTACGGTAATCGAATTCGGGCACCCGAAGAAATATTTACACTGGAATACGGGCTGGAGGATGTTGTTGGGTAAACAAAAGGAAATCTACCCGAATACGGGCGTACTGAACTCCGATTATTTACAACTTAGGCGTTTACCCGAAATCAATTGGCACTCATATTCAGACTAACATTTAAGTATAATCGATATAAGGTGACGATGACGTGTGTTGGGCGCGAGCGCATTGGCTGACTGAACTGACTATGAGCCCAAATCTTGAAGACATAAATAATATTACATGCCTACATCAAAGGCACAGGTGATAACCCTGCCACAAGTACGAGTATCTTCAGAAATGGCCCTAAATTTAAAATTTTAAAATTTTGTCCATTAAAGTCAGTTGACGTAGAGAGGTTAATACTTGGTGACACACGTCACTGCACTCTGGAAAAATATTTAATTGTTTAATGTCACAAAGCTATGCCTAATTTTAGAAATATTTATCTGCTTTTCTTACGTTTTTAATTGAAATAAGTAAAGATAAGAAAGGTTTTATGATTTCGTATTATTTATTAGGGGTTTTTGGTGCATATTTCGGCATTTTTAGTGCATATTCTGGCACATTGTTAGTGCGTATAATCCCATGTCTAGATGTTCGATTAACTTATTCTAGAGCGAGGAGGATGGGGGGGGGGGGGTTAATTGTAAGTGGTGGTGGTCCATGGCAAAACAGAAATTTTGACAAATGGTCCTTCGTCACTAAAAAGCTTAGAGTATGCTCTAAGGTAAAAGCTTAAGAGGCCTTAGGGACTGCGATGCGTTACTGCTGTACATATCGATGACTGAGAATCGGTTATTTTCACTCATCGCCTGATGTACATAACAGCAGGACCTCTTTTATTGCCAGAAGGGACCCCGTCCATTGGATTGCAGTGCCATGGACAGTCATCAGATTTTTATAACATCCATTTACTTATATTAATTATGATTTCCTCTGGGATAGGGCAATAGGACGTATTTCGTTATGTCGACGCGTATTGCGGACACATTATCTTTGTTTGGTGAAATACATAGATTTTAACAAAAAGGGAAGATACGGCACTCGCGGCTCAAAAGTGATCCGCTTAAATTGTGGTGCATGACCACAATTCGCTTTAGTCACATTCGGACATTCAAACATGCAGCATGTACACTCAATACAACAATATTGCGTATATTCTGTTTTATAAAGATAAAACAATGCCTTTTATGTTTTATGAAGAACACAAATATTCTATCTCAAAAATCACGGTTTGCTTGAATGTTATTAACGTAATCGCCATTTTGTTATCAAGAAAAGGACAAAAGTAGCTCTAGCACGAACCATTATCGAATTCGAATAGTTTGCAAACCGAAATGTCAATGTCAAATTTTGTATGGAAACTTGAACAGCAGCGGCACAAAGTACGTAACGAGAACTAAAAATCTGTACACAATTGACAATGACAATTCGGACTCGCAAACGATACGAATTCGATATTGCTTCGTGCTAGGGGTACAGTACAGCTCAGCCGTGCGGACTCGGACACAGACTCGTCGTTTCGGTCACGCTGCGTGAAAGAGTATAGTACTCGTATCTCTCGATTGAATGTTTATTTACAGACGTGGAGACATGTGCGTGGCGTGTGTAAGAGTTGCTTATGTAGTTGTTAAGTCGGATCATATTTAGCGTACCGTATCTTCCCTTTTTGCTCTAATCTATGTCTATGGTTAAATGTCTAATGTTATAACAGATAGCCACCATCGGACCGGCGGAGACCAATTACGTGGAGACAATAAGCACTCTGCGTTACGCAAACAGAGCCAAGAATATTGAGAACAAGACGCACGTTAACAGCGAGCCGGGAGATGCGTTGCTGACAAGGTAACATCATCATCTAAAGAAAATATAACTAGAAAAAATTCCACGCGGACCAGGCAGCAGACGGGACTCGAACCCGCACCCTTCGCAATCCGGACGAATGCACTGACCAATTATGCTACCGCGGCCCTCACGGACCGCGTCGAAATTCTTCTAGCCATTCTTAAGCTGAAAGGTTTTTTTCTAGTTATATTTTTTTTGATTTAAACATCAAGCAGTTACATGCTTTTAAATAATAAAAAGTATAACATCATCATCATTAGATTATTGATGTCCTCACTACAGGGGCACTGGGCCCGGCGTGGATTGGTGGGTGCTAACGATTGCAGATGCAGTCGGGACCAACCGCTTAAGAGGGGAGACGGACATGTTTTTTGAAGTGAAACTTCTGTAGGCACGCTTGACTTGGGGGGTAAACTGGCGAATGTGTTACGATTTCGCGTTACGAGTGTCATCGGTAAACAAGGAACAATACCCGTCACAAAATACATGAATCTAGTGCTTGGTGGGTGATAACGCACCCAGCGCGGATTGGTGGGTGATAACGGACTCGGCGCGGATTGGTGGATGATAACGGACCCAGCGCGGATTGGTGGGTGATAACGGACCCAGCGCGGATTAATGGGGGCAATGGGCCAAGTGCGGATTGGTGGTATTTTTTTATCAACAAATCTTCAGGTTAAGTTTATGATTTAACCTGAAGATTTGTTGATAAAAAAAATATTTATAAGACATTGGAGTTCAAGAAGTTTCACTTCAGTCAATTCTGATTCGATTCGAATTAATTTTTCACATAAAATATAATTTTACTCATTCTATGCTCCAATGTCTTCCTTTTTTCGATAACCTGTGTTTCAAATAAATTAAAAGCCCTCTAAAATGACAAAAAAAAAAACAAATTTTTATCAACACTAAGTACGTCTTATGTAAGATTTAATAAACATTTACAATAAAGCAAAACATAGAGGCATAGTATAACTACTTATTATTGTATGGGTATAATAGTATATTCTGGGTATAATATATTATAATTTTTCATATATCTTATTATCTTGGAGGAAATCGTCGCGAGCCAAGCCTCGAATTTTGCAATTTTTATATGCAATTTTCAGCGTCAACTACTGTTATCTCTATCGCACTGTATTTGCCAAAGCGTGACAGCAATAGTTTTTTCCAATACCTATTTCTCGAATGTCCCTCAGCACGTTTCCGCTCTTAATGTCCCCACTGCTGGGACACAGGCCTTCCTTGAGGATGGAATAGGGAGACTGGGCCGAGACCCACTACACAGGTCCAACGCGGATTGGTGGGTGCTAACGACCTCAAATGTATTCGGGGCCAACGGCTTAACGTGCACAGAGGAGCTCGAAATAATAAGATTTTATCACCCATCCAATGTCCGACCAATGCGGATGTTACTTAACTTGAGTTCGTTTGCGTTTAAAAACAGCAAATATGAATAGTGAGTGTCAGTATAATTAACATACAAACTTTCATATTTATAATAGTAGTTGCAACGTTTAAGAATATGGACTAATAAGAACTGTGCTAAAAAGTGGTTGCACGCAAACTGCGGTCAAGTGGGCGGGGCGATAAAAATGTGATCAACACGCCGATCATGGGATTGGTTGGGATTTCCGTTTAACATTATCTTACCCAATGAATGGATATCCGAATTATTTTTTAAGTATTTTGTTTTGTCTAAGTGCGTGTCGCTAAGTATTGCAGTTTAGCTGTATGAATTTGGAACCATATTATTTTATTTATGAGTAATGCTTCCGTATAATTTTTAATTCATTGATTAGTCGAATTTGATGAAAAACTATATAAAATACAGAAATACAAAAACATACACACGTGAATTCTGAAAACATTACTCTCCTTTCCGGAAGTCAGGTAAAAAAGTGGGAAACAATGAAATGGCTCCCCTGTGGGCCAATCGCCTAACCAGATTGCTTTGGAAAACGCTATCGCTTACGATTTCATTTTGTTATTTCTAACCGCCGAAGGTTTTCAAATACCTCACGCTCATTTTCTTTAACATTGTTATTACCAATGCAAAAGAAAAAAAAGAGCGCGAGGCATTTGAAAACCTCAGGCGGCTAGAAATAACAAAATGAAATCGTAAGCGATAGCGTTTTCCAAAGCAATCCAGTTAGGCGATTGGCCCCCTGATGCTAAGCGGTCGCCATAGCCGCACATGTCTTGATCGTTGCCTACTATGAATAAATCCCCATAGAATTTAAAAAAAATCAACTATTTGACTTTTTTCCAGATTCCAGCAAGAGATCGACCAGCTCAAAAAACAGTTGGAGGAGGCTGCGAACGGTAAGCAAGCTGTTTTAAGATACATATAAAACCATAATATAAATGTAATGTCTTCTGTAAGATGCTGATTACTTTCCTAGACGGGCGCTCCAATTCGAGTGGAAAATCCGCTATGCTTTACCTCTGTTATGTTACGAATGATCTGACGACCTCCGTGGCTGAGTGGTTTAAACGCCGGGTCTCAAGGTGTCGCCTATTCGAGAGGGTTCGAATCCCGGTGGGGCAGATGTTTGTGCGATGAATAAGAGCATTCGTATTCCAGTCATGGATTTTGAATATGTATTACTATAAAAATATACTTATACAGTGATAGTCACATAATTAAAGACACTCCCTAATTGACCACAAAAAACTACAAAAAAGTTTGTGTTATGTTCCCATAGTGAGCAGTGTCTAAACTACTAACGCACGCAACTATTTTTTGTCGCACATTGTAATAATCCAACGTCGTGTATGGTTAAATAACAATTAAACTGGATTAAATACCAATTTTAGCTAATGTAAGTACCATAAGTAAGTTTATTGTGCTTAATTAGGGGGTGTCTTTAATAGGCTAGTTGCCTATTTTTTAAAAGTAGTTAATAATATACCTTGATGTTTATTTAACCCCAAAAAAATAATATTTTTTTAAAAAAGTACATTAACAATATGTATTTTGTATTTCAAAAAACTTATTCAAATTTCCCGCGAAAACGCTCTAGACTGTCATGGCGTCTTGAATGATGTCACCCCGTGCAAAGCAAACAATACGCTATACGCCGACTATTAAAATTATTTAGTTAAAAATGAATCCATCGTATTACAAGTACTGTTTAGTGTCCTAGTATAAAAGGATAAGCATAAAATGCCAGGCAAATTATTTATATGCCACAAATGCGGAAAAAATGGTTAGAATTTGCAAGGAGGGATGGTGCCTATTCATTGTTTATCAACAAATACAAGAATAATTTTGTGATGAACATTTTGATATAAGTATTTTGCATAACATAATCTATGAAATCAAAATGTTATACAAGCCGGATAAATTATATTGCATTATATTGATAAAACAATAACAATAGGTTGAGGTTAGGTAAGTGGATTTATTATATGCTTCGGTAAATCCCAATTCCATGGATGTATTATGCTTCCTTTCAATAATTATCTGAAAACAAACTGATAAATTGTATCAAAGTAACAATAAAATGAATGAGAAATCAATGAAATGTATGAAAACGGCAACCACAAGTAATGTTTTGCACATGGTGACGTCAGTCTTTCTGATTGGTGTTTGCCGTCACGTGATCTAATGCCTATTTTATTCTAATTTATTTTCTAAAAATAATAATAATCATTAATTATTATGATAAATAGCTTTATTTATTGTTATCTGTATATCATAATTCATATTTAGAAACTGTAACCCATTCGATTTATTGTTAGTTGACACAAGCCTATTATGTGACCACCACTGTATATGCATCAGTATATGTACCCTAGTATCCCATAATACAAGCCTACAGTGCTTACTTTGGGGCAAGGCTAATTGGTGTGTGTTTGAAATATTTATATTTATTTATTTACCTATAAAAATTTTGTCCTAAAATTTCAACATGTTAGTCATGAATTGGAATAAATGGAAAATAAAACTTCTTTTTTTGCGGTGAAAAATCGTGAGTATATTGGTTCAGATGATAGAAGTAGTAAAAAAAATAGACTGTTCATTTTGATGTAAAGAGTAAATTAAAAACCATAAAGAAATACAAATGTTTTAAGGACTATGTTGCGGCATGCGGCAACAAAATATTTTATATTCACCGCATGAAGTAGTTTGTTATGAATTAATGAACTGAATTGAATATTAAAAACTATTTCCTCTAAAACTAGAAATCGAAGATGAAGAAGAGGGACTTAAGTCTGAAGAAGAGTTGTCCGACGAAACCCTTACCGAGCCTGAAATGGACAATCTCGACCCTGAAGAGAAGAAGACAAGGCGTAAAATGCGACGCGAAGAAAAGGTACGTATATCGTTCACAATAAGCAGGATTGTTGCTTGCGCCATCCGCCTTAAATCCTTATAGACTATTTGAGTTGCATTCTCGACCCTAACGAGAAAACGATAAGAAGTAAAATGTAACGCGAGGAAAAGGTACGTATATCGTTCACAATAAGGACAGTTGTTGCTTGCGCCATTCCTTAAATCTTAATAGACTCTCGCCTGTGAGTGGCATTCTCGACCCTAACGAGAAAAGGACAAGAAAAAAAATAACGAGTTTGCTTATGACCACACGACTGAATGAAACTTCTTTAGCTCCATCTGTATGTATAAACTTACTTTGGGGCTAGGCTAATTGGTGTGAGTGTTGGAAATGTTTATTTATTCTTTAATATTCATTTCTACTTGTTTAGCACAATAGTGCACCTTGAAAACACCAACAAAATCACGTCATTCCATCTTGCTTCTTTACATGATGTGTGTGTAAGTTGGTTTCTTTCTTTGAATGAATGCGACAGATGCAAAAAAAAATAAGGTTTGATTTTTCTAATAACAATTGAAAACTTAAAGAGCCATGCAAAAGATGAACGAAAAAAAAAATTTGCCATGTAATAAAAGTTTCACTTTAATAGTCAGACCCGTCTTTTCCAGTGGGCACTTTGGGCAAGTGCCCAGGGCCCCGCGATCGATAGGGGGCCCCCTCAGAACAAATACAAAGTCCCTAGTTCCTGTTAAATCACCAAACGGAAGTCATAGGGGCCCCATTATTCTAATATGCCCAGGGCCTCCAATAGGTCAAAGACGGCACTGTTAATAGTAATATAATTTTTGTGTTCACAGGAGAAATTGAACCGTGAGAAAGCTCACCAAGCGAGGAAAGTTCTCGAAGAAAAGAAGGCGGAACTTCAAAGGACAAAGTGAGTAAAACTTATGTAATACTAATCTTTTAATAAAATCAATAGCGTATCTGACAAATTTTAGAAAACGATGTCACTGTATTTACTAATGTTTATGAAGCCTCTAAAAAGTGGATGTTTATAAATATTTTGCATATATCAGTAAAACATCGAAAATAATAAAAACATAATTTCAAATATACCTCGGAAACTTTTCTCTAGCAAATATAGCGTGTTTACAGGCAGGTGACGTCACACGGTTCTCATTTAAACGTCAAACAGTACAAAGTCAATTCGATAGCATGTTTACATGAAAGTGAACGTCATTTTAGGCTCTGCCTATGGAGGTTAGAGAGAAGGAGAACGATCGCTACGTACTAAAGCATTAGCCCGCCTGACCCTGAAAGTTTGTAGAATTTATAGTTAATTTTTCAGCCACCAGCCGCGCTGCCGTCGGTAAGTAGTATCTGTGAAGTTAGCTGTTTATGAGTACAAGTAGATGAAGTTAGTTGAATAATGTACAAATTTTCTTCGCGGCATTGGTCATTTCAAATTAGCGTTCAACAGCTCGCTTTTATTGAGACAACTTAGCGATCGCAGCGCCTCACTTATTTTGTCCATATTTGTGGGACACTATTTTCTACAGCGATCGTTCTTCTTCTCTCTAACCTTCATGGCTCTGCCAATAGCATATTTGACAAGTTTTAGAAAAAGATCTAACGTTATTTACTAAAGTTTATAAAGCCCATAAAAAGTGAATACCTATCTTTAATTCTGTTGTGTAAAATTCAGTAAAAAAAACCAAATTCTTGTTTCAATTTGCTGCGAAAACGTTTCTCTAGACGTTATGACGTGTCACTACTGTGTGACGTCACGTCACCGAAACGTCGAATGATACAATGTAATGTCACTTTGACCGGATGTTTACTACGCTGTGACGTCATTTTAGTCTTGGCCAATCCCAGGCGTTTTCGGTTACGCGAACATAAAACAAAAAGTAATTTCTGTTTTGTGTTTAAATCACTTTTGTTTACTGTCACTTTTGTTTGCTAAAAAGAAAACAGAGCCAACATTAGATTTAAACCAAGACTAACTTTAGTCCGCCTTTTGGAAAAAGCCGGTCTATATTTTGTTTCTGTTCATTGAATTACAAATGGCATTTGAGTGATATGAACAAAACACGGCGTAAGTATTCTAACCTTATGGCACTAGTACACTTGGTCGTTAGCCCGATTATGAGTGCCAATGGAATCCGGGTCGAGTAAATGAACAGAGTCGAGTTCGCCCGTATTCGGATAGGTTTCCTTTTGTTTACCCGACACTGTCTTCCAGTCCGTATTCCAGTGTAAATATTGCTTCCAGGGCCGTCTTTAACCTGTGACTTTGATGTGGATTATGACTTGAAATGGAGCGAGTAGCGAGTCATACTGATGATTTTTCTTTAAAATGTGTATGTGCTTAGGATACCATTATATTGTTACGTGTCGGGATGGGGTTCGAAATTATATGCCAGTTCACGCTTGACAGTTCTTTATTCACCACACAGTTCACACAATTAACACACAATGTTAATTACAAAACACTCACTAAATTTCACTGTATTTCACTATACAAGTCTCTAAACAATCTCACTTGAACACTTTGTTGCACTTTGATCGCCTTTGGATTCGCTCGAAATCGCTGTTGAAACTCAACTGTCTCTGCACGGCGCCATTCTAGAAAGTACCTGTTAAATTGAGAATTAGCTAGCACCCGCGAGTACAAAGTACCTACTTATACCTACGTAGGTAACGCGCATAACTTGTAAACAAGTGCAGATGTCGTTGTACTTTCGCCCTTACGCCGCACTGCATAAGGCTGTTTAGAATGAGCCGCATTACTCGACCTCTATCGCGACCCGCGGTGCTATGGCACTTTCGCGGTTCCGTTTCGAGAGAGTTTGTGACAATATGTATATTTAAATTTATCTAAGCATGCTGAAGTCGGAAATCCTAATTTTTGGGCGAGAGTAGAATAGCTTCGCATATGTTAAAAGCTAGTAAGTTGGTATTGTAGTCAGTAATTTAGGTTCGATTTCATCGAATTATATAAGTTTTTTGGTAATAAGTATTGGTTATCGTTTGGTGATCTGGCAGGAACTAGGGACTTGGTATTTTTTTTTTTTTTTTATAGTTAGGTCCGACAAATGACTCCACCCCACCTGATGTTAAGTGAAGGTGAAGTCCAGACGCGAAGATAGCTGATACAGCAGTTCTACCTGCCACACCAGCCATCCTCACCCTGCCGGCCTGCATGTTGCTTCTTCACGCCTCTTTTAAAGGATCCCAGGTTGTAAGAGGGAGGGAACACGTGAGCGGGCAGAGCATTCCATTTACGGATAGTGCGACAAAGAAATGAGTCACCAAATTTCTTTGTACGCGTTGGAATTGTGGCCACAGTAAGACGGTGACAACGTAGGCCAGCGCGCGTGGTCCTCTGAAGGAAAGGGGAAGGTGGGATAAGAGAGAATAACTCCTCAGAACACTCGCCGTGGTACAAACGATAGAACGCGCTTAGTGACGCCACGTCACGGCGTAATTGAAGAGGCTCAAGGTGTTTAGTCACCTCCTCATCGCCTATGATGCGGATCGCGCGCCGCTGTAACCTATCCAAAGCATCGAGCAAGTACTTGGCGGAGCCATCCCAGAGGTGCGAGCAATATTCCACGCAGGACCGCACTTGCGTTTTGTACAACAAGCACAGTTGATCGGGCGTGAAAAAACGCCGCACCTTGTTCAGGACTCCGAGTTTGCGTGAAGCTGTTTTGATCACGGTTTCGATGTAGTCCTTTGGATTCAGGTCTGAGCGAACTTCCATACCGAGCATGGAAATGTTGCTCTGCAGCGGTAGTGTTGTGCCCTGAAGAGATGGAAGGGGAAGGAATGGCGATGTTTTTGCCGTGAAAGCGCAAGCCTGAGTTTTCTTGGCATTGAACCTAACCAAGTTCCTGGTACCCCATTCGAAAATGTGGTCCAAAGCCTGATTGAGTTCAATGACAAGATTTTCCCGTTTCTCCCTGGTTACTGCCTGCCCAGCCGCTGCTTGTCCGAGATACCCCGCATGCACTGTACTATCGTCTGCATAGCAATGAATATTCCCAAGAGGAATCAAGTCATTGATATGCAGCAGAAAGAGAGTGGGGGATACGACGGAGCCCTGGGGAACGCCGGCATTCACTGACATGAACCGCGAACTGCTACCATCCGTAAGGACACGAATTCTACGCTCATGCAGGAAGTCAGCTACCCAAGAACAGAACTGGGCTGGCAGACCGTATGCCGGAAGCTTGGAGAGAAGGCTTTTGTGCCAGACCCTGTCGAACGCCTTGGCAATGTCAAGGCTGATAGCCAACGACTCGCCACGCTTGTCGATAGCCTCACCCCAGATATGACTTAAGTACGCTAGAAGATCACCCGTCGATCGTTTCGGTCTAAATCCATATTGACGATCATTAATCAGGGAGTGATCCTCTAGGTAGCGGGTCAGATGGTTATTAAGGACCTTTTCTAGAACTTTACATAAAACTGAGGTGACTGCTATTGGCCGATAGTTTGCCGGGTCTGAGCGATCCCCTTTTTTGGGCACCGGTTGCACGTTAGCATCTCTCCAAGTCTCCGGCACACGCCCCAAAGAATACGAGCATTGGTACAAGCGCGTGAGCACGGGAGACAACTCCGCTGCACATTTTTTAAGTACTACTGCTGGGATGCCATCAGGTCCACTAGCTTTCCGGACGTCGAGTGATTGCAATTCGGCACGAACCTCACGCTGCCTGATTTTAATATCAATCATCGTTGTGCCACAGTGAGGTAATGATGGTGGCAGTGCATTGCAATCATCGATTCGGGAGTTAGCCGCAAAGAGTTTTGCCAGTAAATCGGCTTTCTCCTGCGGCTTATGAGCTAGTGTTCCGTCTGGGCATCTCAGAGGTGGCAGCGAGGGCTGGCAGAAGTTTTTTTGCACGGCCTTGGCCAAACGCCAGTAGCTACGGGAGCCCGCAGGATGCGTTATAAGTTCCTGGCCAACACGTGCAACACGCTGGGCATCCGCTCTGATGTAAGCCTTCTTACAGGCCTTGGAAGCAGAATTGTAGGCTGCTTTGAGTGAATCGACCCCGGGATCCTTGAGAGCGTGGCCTCTGATCCAAGCACGATATGTCGCTTGCTTACGCGAAGCAGCTTCAGCACAGTCGTGATTGAACCAGAGGTTACGTGTGCCCTTACTGATGAGATCAGAATGAGGAATATAGTATTCCATACCCATTATGATCTCCTCAGTAATGGCAACGGCACTGGCCGATAGGTCCCTGTCACTGAAGCAGCGCTGCTTCCAAGGGACGGACGCAAAGTAATCACGCATACCGTCCCAATCTGCCGACCCATAATGCCAGATACGGCGCTTGACCACTGCTGGACGCGGAGGCTTGGCCTGTGGTGCTTTGGCAGATATCAGGCAGTGGTCGGACGAGCCCAGGGGGGCTCTTACCACAACCTGATAGCCCTGTGGATGGGTCGTGAGCAGAAGGTCCAGTAAAGAAGGCGCTTGACTTGGAATATCTGGGATCCTGGTGGGCTGATCAACCAGTTGCTTCAAGTCATGCGTGAGAGCGAATGTGTGAGCAGAGATCCCTGCATGGTCAGTTTTGGAAGAACTTAACCACAAATTGTGGTGAGCATTAAAGTCCCCCAAAAACACCAATTCTGCATTGGGAAATCGCTCCTGCGCGTCATCTGCTGCCCGACTAAGGTGTTCAAAAAGTCGAGTTGTCTCAACATCGCCGGTGTGGGATCTGTAGAGGCACACGTAGACTCTGGTCCGGGGGCCAGAGTCGACGTGTACCCCCCGCAGGGAGAAGGAGGGATCTTCCAAGCAGCGGAGACGGCGACAACAAACATCCGCCCGAACATACAGGCATACATCGGCTTTCGCTTTGAAGGACTCTTCAAGCACGTAGCCGGGATAATTAAGGTAGCCTGTGTCAGCAGGCGGAAGTATTTGTGTCTCCGTCAGGAACAGCACGGCCAGCATGGCCGTGCTGTCTCGAGATGGTGGTGGACAGCGTTGAGGTTAGAGTGGAGTCCGCGTATGTTGCAGAACTCGACCTCAAACAGCGTTGAAGGCGTGGGGGTGTGCACCGCTGTACGTCCAAACTTTGTTATTGAGTCTGCCATGGTGGAAGTGAAAAAAAAAGAGACGCGAAAACGAGCGGACGCCGTCGCGAAGAGTCCGGGCAAATAAGGGGGGTTTGTCTTCCCGATTGACTGCCTGCAGTGGAGATGCGCCGACCCGCCGGACGGAAGGGCCCCCGCACCCCCCCCGGGAGTGGCCGCCGGGACCCCACGCCCCGGTCACCAACCGGCACGACGGTCCACCCCGAGATTATGCGTGACATGATGGGGCAGCCTCGCGAACTGGTTAGGAACGCTTGGGCCCCTGTACTGTGCCACGGGCGGCCAGCGGGACAGCCGTTTCTACGGGTCTCCCTGGCCGACGGGTCGATGCAGTCCTCCCGGCATCGGTTCCACGGATGCCTCCCCTGGACCGAATCCTTCGCGACAACTTCCACTCGAGCTCTAGTTGTACGCTGGCTGACCCCGAAACGCGCGAGAAGCACTTCACGGGTTTTTCACCATGCGCACGGTGGTAACAAACCAGGCGGGTGTTAGGCACCCTACCACCAGAAGAGCGGATGGAAGCTCCGACATCCCTTAGTCGCTTCTTACGACACCCACGGGAAGAAAAGGGGCGGTGAGTTGTATTCTTTCTCCGTCACCGCACGGATAAAAATTAGTATTTGATCTGAGCGAGGCCCCTATCGATCGCGGGGCCCTAGGCACTTGCCCAACGTGCCCACTGGGAAAGAGGGGTCTGATTGCTTCGGGTGCTCGAATTCGAGTAATGTAATAGTAATTCCAGTGTTCTGAGGAGTTATTCTCCCTTATCCCTCCATCACCTTTTCTTCAGAGGACCACGCGCGCTGGCCTACGTTGCCACCGATTTATTGTAGCCACTATTCCTATGTCGTGGCCATATCGCAGATTTGCTCACTTCATGAAATGCTCGAGTATTTCATGAAATGGTCGCATTTCATGATGTGGCCAACTTAATTTGACCAGATCATTAAGTCGTCAACGTTTAACGATTTTGTCATCCACATTTGGCCGGATCGTATAATCAGGGTGACCATAAAATATTTAATAAAAATCCAGAATATGTTAAGAACTTGTTTATTGTCATTTGAGTCCGAATGACACAAACAAATTGAATAAAATTTTTGTAAGAAAATAAATCAAAAATTTTTTTTTTCTGAATTAAACATCGACGTGTCATGTAGTTACACAAATGTAAATTTCATTTACATTTAGAAAACTAACAAATATTTAGAAATATAAAGGTACTTTGGTATATATTACAATAGTAGGCTAAACTGTACTTCCCAAGCGGTAATACTTCACACTAGGTTAGGTTAGTGTTGTGACCAAAACGCGCGAGCCGAGCGTCCCGCGGCAGCGGCCGGCGAAGCGCCAGAAAAAACCTTTATTAAAAGAAAGCTTTTCTACAAAAGAAATTCAAGTATCACCTCTTGGGCCCTGGAAGTACAGTTTTACAGTATATCTTTGTACGGCATTGATTCTCATCCGCACCAAAATGTCATTTTTTGACAGCCAGTAGTAGTCCATAGATATCTTTTGCGTAGTCACCCTACTCTCCTTAAATTGTTTCGTCGAAAACCCTTTTGTTATCACTTGCTTCCTCATTAAATGAAGAATTATGCACTTTTTCACTGCGAGAAACAACATTCTCGGCCGCGGCCGCCATATACATATATAGACAAAGCACTTGCAGCGCCTCTACCGGTAATAAATGTAACTACTTTACAATATGATCAAATAATTTTTGCCATTTCATGAAGTAGCCACGCGTTTAGTTGGCCATATCGTGAAACGATTTCTCATCATTGATCTGCCCAAACCACATCATGATGTGGCCAATAGATAGTGAAACATTTCATGAAATGCGACCATTTCATGAAATTCTCGAGCATTTCATGAAGTGAGCAAATTTACGATATGGCCACGACACCTACACGAACAAAGAAATTTGGTGACTCATTTATTTGCCGTACTATTCGTAAGTTTGAGAAATTCTTTGCCCGCGCACGTGTTCCCCTCCTTCCTACAATCTACCCTAGATTGGCCTTTAAGAGAGGCGTAAAGAAGCATTTTTGCAGGCCGGCAAAGTGAGGATGGTTGGTGTAACAGTTTATAACTGCTGTACCAGCTATCTTCGCATTTGGACTCTATCACCACTTAACATCAGGTGGGATAGAGTCATTTGTCTACCTGGCTATAAAAAAGAAAAAAAAAATGTCTTTCGTGCTAACGATCAAACACGGGCTAACGACCAAATATAATTGCGGCATTATTTATTATTAAGGAGCCTAGAGTAGAGTATGGATGTCATTTTTCTATTTCTAACAGGAAACAGCAGGAAGAGCTCAAAGAGAAATTACAGCGCCTTGAATCCAAAGTGCTTGTGGGTGGAGAAAATCTTCTAGACAAAGCCGACGCACAGAGAAGATTGTTAGAGCAAGCCGCCTTTGAACTGGAGCAGAGAAGACTCAACGAGTTGCGGTTACAGCAAGACTTGCAGAAGAAGGAGGTAACCATATAAATGTATATACATGTATCGTTATAGTTACTGTATTAACAGAAATGTGTTAATACAGACTTTTCTGTTATTGGTCGAATTAACTACAATAGGGGTAAAGTACACGAAATTGAATTTAGTCTGTCAGTTGGAATATCAAAATGGATATTTCAATTTCAATAGGGTATTTGACAAGTTTTAGAAAACGATCTCACGTTATTGACTAATGTTTATGGAGTCCGTAAAAAGTGGATATTCATCATTCTGTTGTGTATTTCAGTAAAAATAACCAAATCAAAAACTTCATTTTCAAGTTGCTGCGAAAACGTTTCTCTTAGCAATATGGCGTCTTACTAGTGTATGACGTCACACGACTGTCAGTAAAAACCCCTGCCAATATTCATTCTAAACACAGAGGCTTACAATTGGCACTTTATTTTTAATACTGTCAAATACCCTATTCATTTATTCCATTAAACAATATAATTGTGTTGGAGATAATAATACAAAATAAAAGCGAACATATGAAATAATAAATTAACTTAGCAATAAAATTAACAATTTCTTGATGTCAAATTGAATTATTACAATTAATAAGTAAAAAGGTGAAATACTAATTCACGATGCCAAATTCGATAAAATTCATATAACAAAATAAATAAATAAACATGTCAACCTAGTACTGTCTCATAAATTCGTCAACACTGTAATAAAATTTCTTCAACATGAAGTCCCTCAATTTGTTTTGAAAGATTTGTAGTCAATGATCGATTTCAAACTGGTTGCAAGCCTAGCAAAAATTTCGACCGCCTGGTACCTATAGCCTGGTATCCAATAGGTCGCTGGTTCAAATCCGGCTCGAAGGACCAATGTCAGGATCTGCAGGTGCGTCATGGGCAGCAAGATAAAAACAGTTTTATGGAAGAAATTAAATTTATTCGTAGAGACACATTAAACACAAAATCGCCATTACACGTGTGATAGAGAGAGAATATAGTAGCAAGGACAAAAAATTAATTCTTGTTGGTGTTGCCAACAGATATATTTAAATATAGATCTATCCGGTTAAGATTTAATAGTTTTCTAGTTAGTCTTGGGTTGAGGCTAGGGAAAATAGCCTTAGATTGCCTGCAGCCCTCGGTATTGGTCCAGCGGGTGTTGTGGCTCTGTATGGTTCGGTGGCGCACCCATGTACGAATTCGGTTGAAGAATAACGGCAGGAGCGGCTTAGGGCCTTCCACTTTGTGTACTGATTCCCTTTTAGCCGCTATGTTCCTTGATCCATTGGAAGATAACCTTGTTCTCTGTTGCTATTTGCTCCAATGTTAGGTGACATTCGAATACTAGCCCAGAATATATAGCCTATAGCCATGTTTAACAACATTAAGTTTAGGTTCGATCAGATGTGGTAGATTCTTTCTGCGTGTTTTCAAACGCCTTTTTCCCTTTCTATTGACGTTTCAAAAGTTTCAACAAAAACTGTTAATATTAAAGACAAGTGACGGTTAAAATTTTCAATTTCACGAAATATTCTATACATGATTTCCATTGTGGAATACGGACTACAGTTCTGATAGCTCCTTTTTATAACAAAAGAGCTCTCTGTATATTAAATTTATATGAATTGCCCCAAAATTAATACTATACATAGTTTTGATGTGAAACTTCTATTCGGATAGGGTGTAAATGGTAGAAACCGGAAGTGCTACGTTACTCAAATCCGGTTTGTAGTCTTATCAGACTATTCTTAACTTATAACTTAAATATTCTCTTTATCTATCTCTTACGGTTTGGCCGCTGAAACAGCACCACGGACAGACGGACTTGTCTAATAGATGAGAGATGCTTTAAAGGGCCAAATTGATCTATATTAAATACACAATGTATTTAAGGTACTTAATTGGTTAAGGATGAATGTTATATTGCTGAAAATCGCTTCGTAAATAAGCTATTATTTCTCGTAAAGAGTATACAATAAAAATGGTTATTGTTGGTTATACCTAAGAGATAGACATATACCATCGCGGACTTTTTTGTAGACCTTTTTAAGGTGTACATTACTGTAGTACATTTTTTTGATCTATCTCGTAGGGTTCAGCCAGCGTTTGCAATGTAAGCGCAAAAAACGTGTTTATTTAGGACCTTACATTAAAAACCTCTAAAATTATCAGTGATTCTCTACTATATTATGCATGTATTATACATATAAACCTTCCTCTTGAATCACTCTATCTATTAAAAAAACCGCATCAAAATCCGTTGCGTGGTTTTAAAGATCTAAGCATACATAGGGACATAGGGACAGACAGCGGGAAGCGACTTTGCTTTATACTATGTAGTGATAATACTTTATGTAAGTTTAAGACCCGATTATATCTTTCTCCTATCTAATTTTGTCTTTATACGCAGGCGGAAAGGTTGGACCTAGAAGAACGTTACTCCAGCCTTCAAGAAGAGAACGCAGCAAAGACTAGGAAACTGAAACGGGCTGTGCAACTGCTGAATTCAGCAAAGGCTGAGTTGGCTGATCAGCAGAGGGAACAGCAGAGGGAGATGGAGGGAATTCTGGACAGCGTGAGAGCTTTGAAAAGGGAGATACAATTGGCTGATTTGGTGCTGGACTCTTACATACCTAAGGAATACCAGGTCAGTCATAATTATTTATTTATGTATTTCAACTTTATTGACCAAAATACAAGATAATGATACAAAGGGCGGACTTAATACTAATAACATTCTATCCCAGTCAACCTTTGCGAAAAAAGAATAACGCGAAAGGCAGTATAAAGCTAAATATACACATAAATATAGATATAATAAATAATATTAAAAATATATACGAATTAACATAGATACATATATAAATACATACAACGGAACGAATATATATACTTAACTGGTACTTAAGTCACAGGATTTTCCTATTTTAAGTACTTACAGATCCTTAGTTTTAAAATAGCCTGTACCTGTTAATTGTAAAACCATATTGTATAAAAAATTTTGGGAATAAATTATTATTATTATTATTTCCTTTATTGCATTATATTTCAAAAATTACAAAATTATATTTCTAAATATTAAATTTTTACAATGAACATTAAAAAAATAACATTTAAAAATACAAAAATGCAGTTCCCCATCGGCAGCAAGATCAGGGTCCCTGCTACCGGTGGTTAGGGATGCAGAGACAGGAACCTCCTCACGATACGGGCCGTGTCCAGAAGTACTACCTTCTGCATCTGGCTCTGGACCCAACCACCTAACGCGAGCCTCTTAATGTGTTTATCGAGGCTCTTGGCTATCAAACCATGGGCAGATATGATTATCGGCACAACAATTGCTGAATCGATGTCCCACATGTCAACAATCTCGCGTTATTATTATTATAAATACACACCACAATTATATTTAAATATATATACACACATAAATATACAAATGATGATTAATATACATATATATAATTCATATATACCTAAGTATAGGTGAATCAGTTTAACTCGAACTTTATTCCATTTAAATTAAAGTGACTTAGAGCTTCACTCGTGGAAGTCAGTTAACTTTTTTTCCATGCTCATAGGACAGTCAGAAACCAAAGGTCCGGTTTCTGACTGTCCTATGAGCATGGACCTTTTTTAGCATTTCTTTGGCTGCAAGACATTCTCCCGGATAGCGAAGGGTGCTGGTTCGAATCCAGTTTTTTAATTTTTTCTCGTAAAATCTTATTTTAAATGCTTAAAAAAATATAACATTGACCTTGTTTGTCGATTAATTTGTTGTTTTGGACTTTTAATTCGCAACTGCTTATTTAATAGTAGATTTCATTACTAGTACGGAATGGTTGTCATTGCAAAGAGTTCCGACAAATGTCTACCCGAGCCGAAGGCGAGGGTTGACAGTCGGAACGAGTTGGAATGACGGTTCCGTACGTGTACTGAACGACTATTTTTAATACAGTTGCGAAAAAATGAAGCAATTTAATCTAATTATAAAAACACAATAAACTCAATTAACTAATCATTTATTTCTTATAAAAGTTATAATTCACATATACATTGAAATTGGTACACTTTTTTATACTAACTGGAGAAGTTTTACGTTGCATATTTACTGTTTGAGACAAACTATTATTAATTTCGTATGATTGTTCATGTATATTTGTCATACAATGGCGTTTGCTAGTTGATGGAATTGGATCTGATGAATTATCATTATCAACGAAGGTACTCGTAGATGGACGAACGTTCTCTTCAGCATGTGAAGGAGACGGACTGGACCTTAAATTAATGGATTGTGTGATCTTTTTCCCAGTTTCTAGTTTGTTGTTTAATGAATCACCATTATAGCTTTCTGCAACTTTGTCCGATTTCCAACCACCTAGTCGCTTTAAGGACGTCAAATTGGCTCCTGAATCTGCCAATAATGTAGCAGAGGTCCTTCTGAAGCTGTGCCCAGTATAACACTCAGCATCCGGCAGACCAAGAAACGTAGCTATTTCTTTTGGCATATTACCAAATTTGTTTATGCCGATTACTTGAGCTGTACACTTCCCTTTTTGGAAATTTTGAAAAAAACGGTCGGATTTTCCTTTTTGGGACCGCTGGTTCATATATTTTTTCACTATTGTGAGAAAATCTCCTTCAACAACAAAGCTTCGCGGTATCTTATTTTTTGTGTTTGGAATCTTGATAAGTAGCATTTCTCCATGGGCTTCAATATCTTTTAAAGTAATATTGGCTAACTCCTCTCTGCGGCAAGCTCCAACAACGCCAAAAATCAGAGCAACCTAAAAAAAACGATTTGATTCATATAAATAATGTATTGACTGTATTTTGCGATTTTGTAAACTGAACACTAAAGAAAAATGTAGATATGTATACTTATTAATAAATTACCTTTGTGGCTAAATAACAATCATCGGGAGCTTCTTTCAAAAACCTTTCCACGTCATTCGATGTTAATATTTTCGACTTTTTACTGGTAAACCCATCTGATTGTCGTTTTAAGAAAGAATTTAATTTTGGATATTGACTTATATCAGCGTTGTTCCTTATTTTCAGCATACTTTTTATCATCGAAAACCTTGACCATAACGTAGAAGGTTTTAATTTTGCTGTGAGTTCGGAAAAGTATGCCACCATAACATTTTCTGAAAAACTATTTGCTTTTTTCTCTTCTTTCCACGCAATAAATTCATCGTATGTAGATATGTAGCGAATTTTTGACTTTTCCGGTAAAATGTTCTCCGAAGCATTTTGTGCAATTATACTGAGTTGCGGTGGAGTTAATTCAAAAAAATTTAGGTCGAAATTACTCATTTTGTGTAAAAAACAACTAAACTCGCAAAGAAAATTTCGGAAAATGGCGCCAACCGTAGAATGTAAGCAGTTTTTTTTCACCCATTCTGGTAGGCAAAGGGAACTGCCCATACAGCCAAGTCTTTAGTACTTAGTATTTTTTTATAAGAAATGAAATTGAAATTAAATGATATGAAATGAACTGAAACCTTACCTAACTCATTCAATCAATTAATTAATTCTGATATTGGACAAATTAGTATAGGTAGTTTCTTTTTAAAAACAAATAAACCTATTTGCATGAATCGCAAAAACTTCTATGATTTTTTTTAGTTAAAACTTCATGGTTGTTTTTTTTAATAGAAATAATTTTGACAGTTGGGAAAGAAAACGCACGAGTTCGGGAAAGGCAAAAAAAAAGCACGAGTGTGAAATAGCCCAGATCCCGAACGCTACACGTCCCTGCAATACGCCACTTTTTGAGCAACTGTAATAAAAAATAATATTTGAATTAACTCCAGGCTTTTCGCACGTTAAACTTATTCATTTCTTGCTCAAAAAAATAAATATTAAAAAGATACTGACGGCGGGACAATTCAACAAAAAAAAAATGTAAGAAAAAAGATTTAGCCTTATTTGGATTACATGCATCATATTCCCTATTGGTGTGAATGATAGAAATATTAATTCACTAGTCGTATTATTCAATATTCATTACTTCGTCTATTTTACAAAAACATATCCTCGCGGTCCAAGCAGCAGACGCAGCAGACAAAGTATATTCTATCTAAGAAATATGTATAAACATCCATGACTAAGTTACAAATGATCGTATTCATCATACTAATATTTGCCCCCACTGGGATTCGAACCAGGGACCTCTGAGTAGGCGACCGACGCTATGAAACCCGGCGTATATACCACTCGGCTATGAAAGTCGTCATGAAACATACACGCTGATCGGACGCCCGCTCCCTGCTTAGCGCAACGCAAGCTCTTACAGTGCTTACTTTGGGGCTAGTGGTCTGATAGTGGGAAATACTTATTTATTTGTTTATTTTATTAGTTTGATGACCTCCGTGGCCGAGTGGTTTGGTCGCCGGGTTTCAAGGTGTCACCTGCTTGAGAGGTCCCGGGTTCGAATCCCGGTAGGGTCAGATGTTTGTGTGATGAATACGAGCATTTGTACTCCAGCCATGGGTGTATAATATGTATTTCTATATAAATACTAGCTGTCCCAGCGAACTTCGTACCGCCGTAAAAAATAGGGTTGGTGGTAGAAGGGTGAAAATTTAGGGTTGTATGTACTTTTGTGTGATGTATCATAAAAAATAAACACAAAAAAATGTCCAAAAATAAAATTTTAGGAACCACCCTTAACATTTGGGGGGATGAATAAAAGATGTTGTCCGATTCTCAGACCTACTGAATATGAATATAAAATTTCATGAAAATCTGTCGAGCCGTTTCGGAGTAGTTCAATTACGCACACCGTGACACGAGAATTTTATATATTAGACTAGTGGCCCGCCCTCGCTTCGCTTCGGGGTAGAATTGATCAAAATCCTTTCTTAGTGGATGGCTACGTCATAACATCTACCTGCATGCCAAATTTCAGCCCGATCCGTCCAGTGATTTGGGCTGTGCGTTCATAGATCACTATGTCAGTCAGTCACCTTTGAATTTTATATATATAGATGTTTATTACTAGTTCATTCACTATGTTTATATTTGTATTCCGCAGGCGTTGATCGAGAAATACGTGCATTGGAACGAGCAATTAGGCGAGTGGCAAGTCCGTTGCGTGGCCTACACCGGCAACAATATGGCCACCATGCAACACACGACGCCGCCGAAATATGTAAGTAAACATGAATTTAAAATTTAAACAAAACCTTCAAACCCTTGAAATTTTATTATACAAGGTGCCTCAAAAGAAATTTTATATTTAGTAGATCGATTAAAAAAAAAAAGTAAGCCGTATGAAGCGGAGAGCTAGTGGAATGAAAAATGTAGGCTAGGATTTAGGACGCAATGGGTTTATTAACACGATTTTGTAGTAAAACACAAAATAATATTATATCAGATGACAGGAAAAGACTATGACACACAATAACAAAAATCATAAAAATGTCAATACTTTAAAAACACTTCAAAAAACCATAAAAACTAAATCTATAAAAGAGGTCGGCAACACCGTATATAGAAAAAATGTTTATTAATTATTCAAATACACTTTTTGGGGATTTATTTCTTAAAAATAATATCGTCTGAATGTAGACCCTCGCGTTATCGGCATCGAACGGTCAAATTCAAAAATCAGGTCGTCACGAACAGACTGATTAACATTCTCCACGTTTTCTACCGTTGTTGATGACCTAGGTCGCCCGAATTTCGATTTATCCAGCGTTGTACCAGTCTCTTCAAACTTTTTAACCCGATGTCGAATGAGAGGAATACTTGGCGTATCATTTAAGTGGCGAAAACATTGAATACTGCTGAATTTTCTACACGCTACAGTCGCCGAATCACCTTTTTTGTAAAACTCTCGCACGCACAACGCGCGGTCTGCTCCCGAGAAACGCTCCATAGCGACTGAATTCCCAAGAGCCAGGCTACCGATTGACCTAACCCCCGTGCCCTTCGGATACGTTGCGTTCACGCAGTAAGCTAAATAATTATAAAATTTCTTTTGAGACACCCTGTAGCTAGCGTGTCAGCTAAAAAAACAGCATCAAAATCGGTCCATTTGTTTAAGAGCTATGATGATAATTTTATTTTACTCACAGTCTCAAGTCTCAGTATACCGTATATTTCGAGAAAATTTTAAAAATACAATAAATTCGTTTTAGTCCAACTTATTTTTTTTCGTGCCAATGAACACACCCTACCATCAGATAGTGCATACAATCTTTAGGGGTCAAAAAAAGAAATACTGGCAACCATAATTTTTTTAAGGGCATTTTTTTAAATTTGTCGAAATCTAGGGTAAGGGCGAGATGTATGTAAAGGGCAAAAACCTGGCAGCACAGACCGGAATAGCCGAAACCGTTATGTCTGTTGCTGGGCTAATTTTAGATATTTTAGTGCCAGCAGTTCAATGTTGGCAAATAACTTGTTTGAGATTATCGAGGAGCAGTATCAGTTTGTCTTTTTTCTTATTCATCATTATCCTATTAATGTCCCCACTGCTGGGACACTGGCCTTCCCTTTGGATGGAATAGGGAGATTGGGCCATTGGCACATTTTTTTTATTAGCAAAAGTTTATAGTTACTAGAGGTGATGGTTTTTATCGCTCCTTCGTGCTTTGCTATGCCGTACAAAGAACACGGAAAGAGATTAGAATGGCCTTGTGGGTGGAGCAGGCACGCCACAGTTATGTGTGAGCAATGCTCATAACTTGACCTCAACTTGGTTCGATTGCGTCGTTACTCTCGGGTTTGAGCGATGATTGGTTCGATTGTTTGATGTCGCGTTGTTTGATGGGCTGTTATCTATTAGGTGGAACTCTAGTGGGGGCGAGCCGGCGACATCGGTTCCCGCTCAAACGGTCTATGATCACCCGTCTAACCTCTTTTTGTATTCTGTGGTGCCGCAGCAATGGAGACATTAGTAGGCTGATTTATTATAATTTTATTTTATACTAGCGACTGCCCGCGACTTCGTACGCGTGGAGTTAGTTAGAAATAAAGATTCACTGCTCGTTCCCCGTACGTGATAGCGTGATAATATGTAGCCTTTATGTTGACCCGACTTCTTAATAATATTCGTGCCAAATTTGAAGTAAATCCATGCAGTACTTTTTGAGTTTATCCCGGACATACATACAGACAAACAGACAACAATTCTAAAAACTATATTTTCGGCTTCGGTATTGATTGTAGATCACACCCCAAGTATTCTTTTAGAAAAATATTCAATGTACAGTTTAGAATTTCCTACCATTTTATTATATTTTTTTATATAGATGGAGCCACCGGACCTATCGAATCGGTACTTGTCCTACAGTAGCGTCAACAGTCGACCGGCGACTAGACTCGCCAGACCACACACCGCCGTACCGAGACCCCATACTAGCCTTCGACAGAGGCAGTAAATACAAATGAACACCATTGAAAAGCATTACTATTGGCTTTAGATTGAATGTACAAAAAAAAAAATTAGGAAAAATATGTATGCACGCACCACACATCTGAAGTGAAATTTCTTTTCTTAAATATCCTAACATTAGACGGGGAATAAGGCATACGGGAATGGAGCAGTGCACGCATCACTCGTATATATGTGTATATATATATATGTATACTAGCGGCCAACCGCGACTTCGCCCGCGATAACTTTTTTTTTCTATAATTTCCCAATTTTTCTACAATAAAAATAGACTAAGTTACTCCTTATTACATCAGCTACCTGCCAATTTTAGTCCCCGTCAAAATCGGTCCAGCCATTTCAGAAATTAGCCGGAACAAACAGAGAGACAAAAAAAATATTTTCATATGCATGTAGTAAAAAGCGGTTATTTCAATATTTCAAACAGACACCAATTTTATTTATATGTATAGATGTGTGAAATTTATATATTATCGCGTGTTACGCTCGTAGCGTTTCAACCTTCGCCGAGTTAACCTCCAACTTTCATGCTCGTCGGGAAGAACTGCGCACGCATCTCACACACACATGTACATCATCATCTCTGAAGTCATTTTCCAATTTGACGACTCTGTAAATAATAAAACAGGGAGAAAAAAATAGCCCTTGCTGAGTTTCTTGCCGGTTCTTCTCAGTACAACGTCTCCCGCCGTAGATTTACGAACCGATGGCGTAGCTGCTAGACATTCATGAGTACTTGTAACAGCCTAAACTGAATAAATGATTTTGAATATCTGTCATATATATATATATCTATGTATATAGTCGTGTGACGAGCGTGACGCATTACCGATTCATCTTTTCCATAGGATTTTTCCATGTACACCCCGTTCGCAAACAAGTTTCACTTCATAAAAACGAATGAAGAACTTTTATTGACCAAAGCGTTGTTGTGGTAAGACAATAGCTATGGGAGTGATTTTTATAAATATTCGTCTTTATTGCTTTGATATTGTGGTATTTTGGTATTTGATATTGCGGTAGAAGTAGGAGCGATTGGTATACCAGCAAAATTTCTCTATAACCTTCTAAAAGATCTGCCAGCCTGTCGAGAACTGAACAGTAAGCTATAGGGTATTTGACAAGTTTTAGAAAACAATCTCACGTTATTGACTAATGTTTACGGAGTCCGTAAAAAGTGGATATTCATCATTCTGTTGTGTATTATAGTAAAAATAACCAAATCAAAAACTTCATTTACATGTTGCCGCGAAACGTTTCTCTGGACAACATGGCGTCTTACTAGTGTGTGATGTCACACGACTGTTATTAAAACGTTAAACGATACTGTCACTTTAACCGGAAGTTTACTTGCGTGTGACGTTATTTTAGGCTCCGCCAATCCCAAGCGTTTTGGGTCACGTAACAATAGATAAGAAAACTATTATCTTTTTCGTGGGTTTTTAGTAAAGTTATGATTTTTTTTTGTAAAAATAGTAAAAACCCCTGCCAATATTCATTCTAAACACAGATGCTAACAATTGACACTTTATTTTTAATACTGTCAAATACCCTATTGTGGAACGAGTAAATAAGGCTGCACTTACAGGCTCTTATCAAATTTGGCTAGGAAGTGCGAGCAACTCTATATTTGGCAAATATATAGAAAAAATAAAAACATAACTATAATTGCTATTTCTTCTATCAAATGTTTAATACCTGTAAAGATATTCATTTGACATTGTGGGTTACCTACAATGCGAAGAGATAGCGCTGCCTTGCAGTCTAAGCCTAGAGATAATTCGACACGGCCGTCAGGGCCGCAGTAGCATAATGGTCAGTGTATTCGCCTGGAGAGCGAAGGGTGCGGGTTTGAGTCCCGTCTGCTGCCTGGTCTGCGTGGATTTTTTTCTAGTAAACTTTTCTTTAAATTTAAACATCTGGCAGTTTAATGCTTAAAAATTAAAACATAATTAAATTTATAGAAGTAAATAATGAACCATTAACATTTGAATGACCTTTCTGAGGAATGTCGATTGCCTTAGAATATTGAATAAGTATTTACACCAAAAAATGTATGTTTTTATTAGAAAACGCACCTTATATATTTATGTAGGTTCCTTTCGCAATAAAATGGAACTAAAACTGATCTCTAACATATTTATCTGTATTTTTTTTTCTTTTGACAAATATTTTACTTTTACGATTGTGATATAAAATTAAAATTTTAGCTTGTACCTACTTTATTTATTTATAGAATTGTCTAATGTTTAGTTTTTTTTTAGTATTTCAAATAACTTCGTTGTCAAACTAATATCTACTATGTTATAATAATATAAAAATAATACAAAAAATAACTTATTGTATTATATAAAGATTTTGTACCAAAAAGGCCACTGCTTAGTTATATGTCGTGGCACATGTTGCCATTCGCACTGATTTTTAGCAGCAGCCTACTTAGCCTTAGACCAAGCGCTAATAGTTAAATTGCAATAAATAAATCTTTATCAGAGCAGTTTTTTTATAGATAGGTCCGACAAATGAACCCACCCACCTGATGTTAAGTGACGGTGAAGTCCAGACGCGAAGATAGCTGATACAGCAGTTCTACCTGCCACACCAGCCATCCTCACCATGCCGGCCTGCATGTTGCTTCTTCACGCCTCTTTTAAAGGATCCCAGGTTGTAAGAGGGAGGGAACACGTATAGTACAGCAGTACGTATTTGACGATATTCTTGTTAATGGAAATAGCATATTTTTACACGGGTGCCCAAAAAAAGAGTGTAATGTGTTCAGGGTTCATGTATGTATATAATTTTTTTATTCTACCATAACTTCTAATCGTCTCAACCAAATTAGATGTATGTAGTATCGTTACAATCCTTTCACATAGGATACTTAAACTGTTGAAATTAAAACAGCAATTTTATTTATAAAACAGCAATGTCAAAATGACAATTACTTAGCAACCTCTGTTCACCGTTCTAGCGCTGAAATTCGCATATCAGTCTTTGTATTCGTAAATCGGTTAATGTAGGTATATTAGTCATTGTTACCAGACGTCCCGATTTATGAAACAAGATTAAATGTCCTGCGCGGGACAGGCTCAATCCCGCTTTTCGGGAATAACTCGACCGAGTGTGCAGCGTACTGAGAAAGCGCGGACACGTGTGGACTGGCCGCCTGCTCGACGCGTAATGAAGATCTCTCAAACACTATTTAACGGTAGGGTAAATATGATTTGAAATATCATATTTTTATTAAAATACATTTTCTATGGATATTTTTACTAGGTACTATTGTCACGGAAACGTAATTTCAACTCAAATAAAAAGATAAATTTTCAAAAACTTTTTTTTTACCATGTCCCGCTTTCGGCGAAAGAATCCCGCGCAAAAAAAAACTAACAACGCTGACTAGAGTATACTATTCATAATGATGGAAATGTCGAAATCTCCAAAATGTGACATAGCATATATTGGTTTGACAGTGACGATATGATAGTAAATAATGCTAGTCACATTCCAGTGATGCCTAACAGTATTATGAGACTGATCAGTTTCTTTTTTATATACCTAAAGCCTATTTTTCTATGAAGTTTTGGAGCCCTTGGAGAAAATGCTTTGATGTTTTGTGATTATAAGACTTATAGCTTGTCATATCAAACAAAGTTCCAGAAAATAGATTTCTGCTTTAATCATATGTGGGTAGGTACATATATAAGCTTGCGGAGTTTTTTCTTTATATAATGTATGTAACACTGGTGTCGATTCTGGCGTGATTCTCTAAACTTAAAACTAAATTTAACATCAGTCACACCTTTTCATTCTGTATAGAGAAGGACAAGGATGCACTGTTGTCAAATTTAAGTTAAGCTTTAGAGAATCATGCCAGAATCGATATCATTGTGTAGGTATTTAGTAATATTACGAATCAAAAGCAGAATACCTGTCATTACATTTTAGGCTCCAAAACTAGGGTATAAAAACGTTTTAAAAATTTGCGGTTTTTGCTTACTTGCATTTTACCAATGTAATCATATTTTTTTGAGCTGGTAACCCATTTTGATCACGTTTAAATTTAATGCAATATCTAGTTTTAAAATGTGTGTATTGTCAATGTAATATGTATTCTCAAATAAACACTTTTGTATTCAACCTTTTTTTTTATTTTACTTTCCATACTTTTTAACCGGTTATTTTATAAAGTAGCGTCTTGTTCTAACAACATATTATGTAAGTACGTAGTCACTATAAAGAGGGGAGGCGGGCAATGTTTTTCCATACAAAGGTTCTCGACTGATTCCTCCTTGATTTTTGTCACTGAAGCAATGATTTTCATACATAAAATACAATTCTACTCAGAGCCGGATCTACCATATGGCTTTTTGGGCTTCAGCCCAGGGCCCCGTGGATTCAAGGGTTAGTCAAGTCCAGCTTAGTCAAATCAAAGCCAAAAATAGACGATAATGCGAAACAATCCATACTTTTATTAAAGTAAACAGATCGGAAATTCAGACAGGCAAATATCGCTGAATTTCCATAATTCGCCCGGATTGCGTAGGGTGCGAGTTCGAGTCCCGTCCGCTGCCTGGTCCGCGTGGATTTTTTTCTAGTAAAACTTTTCTTTTGATTTAAACATGTAGCAGTTAAATGCTTAAAAATAAATAAAACATAGATATAATATTTTCAAAATAGGTGTCTAAAGCTGAACTAGTGATTCACTAAAGAAAGAAAATGAATATTATTTTCTTTAAAGCAGTAGATTCAATGATTGGAAGTACATTCAATGTAGAAAAAATACATTGTTCAATGTAACCCCATTTATATTACCCCTAGAATATGAGGCGCAATTAAACAATTTGCCATGTCCGCACTTTGCAGAAAGGTTGCTTTGTAATTTGTCAATTTATTAACAGGTGTATAATACTAAGGCATAATATAATATAAATTATTTTTTTACTGTCTCATTTTCAGTAATTAGGTGGGCCCCTAAATAGTATTAGCCCGATTTATACTTTTTTGTTTGCATGCCAGAGTAACGTATTACCGCTCATCGCTGATTTTCGATTCCCAGTGACAATTTTTATTCAGCTGGAACTCAGCAACTAATCATTTTGCAAGAAAAAGTTTTATACAAAATTTGTAGAAAATTTCATGCTCTCCAACTTTAATTCAAACATTTTTTTCGTATCTCCAAAAATTATTGAGTTACTTTACAAAAACAAAAAATTTGGTTTTTTTACTTCAATATATCGGAAAATATCAACAATAGGGGGAAAAGTTTGGTATAAAAAAGATGGGAAATTTTGTTCTCTACAAAAAAGATCTCTTCGGTTTTTAACGTAAAACTTACCGTTTCCGAGATATATGCAAAAAAACGGTTTCCAAGATGGCGGCTAACGCTCGCGGTTTCGGGCGACAGAAACTCGGTTTTATACTTAGGGGGCACCCTCTGATATTATTCAATCGAAAAATAACATAGAAGGATTTTATGCAGAGCGGACATCTAAAAATCTTGGACTAATAGGTATATGTTTGGAAAAGTCGTAGTAAGATTATTTAATAATGTCAAAACAAGCCGTATAGATTTCATCAAAACTTTATCATTGTAAGGATTAGATAAACATTTCCTAATGTCATATTTTCCATAACAAAATAAGGTAGGTAATATTAATTTCAATAAAAATTTTCGTGAAACAAAAATACTCAGTTTAATATAATGACCCTAGTCGGTGCCATTTTAGAAAAGGTAAAATCTAACACAAGTGTCAATAAGAAATATTATTCCCCGCCTCCCGAAAATGTTGAAAATATAGAGGTGCCCTTGAAAAAATCTCATAAGAAAAAAATATGTCACGTGAGTAACAAGTTATTAAAAATTAAACGGTAAAAGACTAAATTTATTTTACAGTCATCAGGCGTTGATACTTGGTCGAAGTTGAATATTTCTAGTAAAAATTTCTTTAGATATAAAAATAAATAATAATAATAAATAAATATTTCCAACACACACCAATTAGCCTAGCCCCAAAGTAAGCACTGTAGGCTTGTGTTATGAGATACTAGGGTAACGGATAAAATATATATACTGTACTTATATGACTATATTTATATAGAAATACATATTAAACATCCATGAATGGAGTACATATGCTCGTATTCATCACACAAACATCTGCCCTCATCGGGATTCGAAACCGGGACCACTCATCCACGAAGGTCATCTATCAAAGCTTGAAATAAAAAACACTGTCTACATTTTCCATTAGTCCAACCGCGTCCGCGCCAAAGTCGACACCTCTCCCTTACCCCTAGACACAACGAGATGGTACCGCCATCTAACCGAGTTCCGGAGCAGCGTGTTGCGTATCAACAACGAGAATATGGAGCTTCTTAGAGCTATAAAGGAGGCGCATTTCAAAAGCTTAAGTATCTGCAAACTTTTAAGCTACACCTTAGATCCACAGGCATATTTAGCATTAAATATTTTTGTTTGTTAAATTTCCACTGCACAGGTTACATTTCAATTATGTTAAACACTGTTAAATTCCAATTATGTCCAAAACGTCTCACTTATTGAAGCCCGTGTGCAAGCATTACCCTTATTGTGACGATTGGCGTTCGGCGCCCCCTAAGGCGGAGACTTACGGAGTGGTTATTTCCCGACACCGGCCGCGGGCGCCCGCAGAGCTATTTTATTGCAGAACTCAAGAGACCGCAGTTTCCTGCTGTCGTGCAGCCGCTGTATCTGCAAGACTGGTCGAAGCTTGTCGCGTTTGCGGGTGATCATGTCCCGCGCGCACCCGCAGCGAATGCCGCAACAACCACGTGCTTCACGGGCGTAAATCGCATCAAATTATATTTGCAATTGCGTTTTACCTACTTTCATAATCTACGTTAGTTGCTACTCCCTTAATAGACAGAGAGTGAAGTGAAGTGTGGACTGTGGTAGCTGCTAACATTTCTGTTTAGATAGTAAAAGCCTTTAAGAAAGGAAAGTGTTGTAGTACTAGGCGACGGGCTTGTATTCCATTCTAACCAGCCACTTTTCCAAAAACATTAGGTTAGATGTGATATGTACCTAATTTTATTGATACTGAAGATGTATGGAGGGAATAATGCGACAAAATGTTTGGAGTACCCCAGGGTTCCGTTCTGGGACCAGTCCTATACTTCATATATAATTGACGCACTACTAGCATCATGAAGGATCCGTTGCCAGGTTAATTAAGCTTAACTGTATGCAGAGTTTTTGTTTTTATATGACTTCATAACATTTTTGTATTGCAAGTGTGGATCCAAAGAGAATAGTGTAGTATAGTAATAAATGGGGTTCGAGCTCTACTTATTCATTTATCTGTGAAGAGAAAAGTATTATATATTTATTTTCTTTAAATCTCAGGGAAAAGTAGATTGCAGATGGGAAGCGTACCCTGAGAGAACCCTTAATCATTATAACAATAGAGTCCATTTCTACCAACGAATGAATAAAGCTAATGAAGATATGCACAGACGAATAATGAAAAGTGTAAGTATTTTATGTCGGCACTTCACTTGGCTATTCGTGTTTGCTACTTGTAAACTTGACATCAGTCTGTTCTTTTCATTCCTTAAAAAGCATGAAAGGACATCCAGTATCAAGTTTACAAATAGTAAACAATTTTACAAGTAGTCGGTATTCGGCAGTAATGGCCAATCAAACATACAGTACAGTAAAAGTTCCTTATTCGCGGGGTATACGTTCCAGAAATATGCCGCGAATACAGAAACCGTGAATATGGAGTGGTAATTTATATGAAATTATAGGGGATACGTTCCAAAGCGACCGAAAAAAACAACTATATTTTTAACTAATCAATGAATTGAAATTAATTTTTGTCAGGCTTAAGCAAGCGTTTAAAGAACTGTTAATGTAAACGGTAAAACTGATATTTATCACGTCGAAACTAATTTTGTCGAAATTATAATTTAAGAGCACAGCGGAAGAGACGAGTTACTTGATCACAATTTTCGGAATGAATGAAAAGAGGAGTGAGTAAACCACGCAAAGCGGATATGGCGGAGCGCCTAACTTACATATGTGATATTATCATATGATATGATACTATTACATATAACAATATATTTTATGCATATAATAATAAGATTGTTTTACATAAACATTATTCTGATTGTTTGCTATCTCAAACAGCGTCTCATATCAAAAGAAAAGGCGAAACCATCTTATGCACCGGCGATAGCATTTGACAACATACCGTAGACTAATTAAAATAAGGTCTATTTTATATATTTTATAATTACTCCATCTGCCGATGCGTTAACAAAGGTAACCATATTATCCTTTATATTTTGATTAGATCCGCGAATAACGAAATTGTTTACCGCGAATATGGGGATTTGGTCGTAAGTTTTTAATCCGCGAATAGTGAAAACGCGAGTATAGGAAACGTGAATAAGGAGCTTTTACTGTATATCATTTTGAAAGCTTGTTTTATGTACTAACATGAACAAATAATATATTTTTTTTGTTTATCCCTGATTAATTTTAAATTTTTAAATCGTGTATGAGTATTTATCGGCCCAGTATATTCCAAGCAAATCGACTGTGAAAGACAGACAACCGAGTGATCCTATGAGAGCGTGCGCACCGGCCGGGCACGTAGCGGGCATCCGTCGCGGAGATCGGCTCCGTGCTTCGGGACCGCGACCCGTTAAACCCGTCGTGGGGCCCGCAAGAGGCCGGTGCCTCTCGCAGCTCCGCCAGCACAAATTCAATTGCGAGGGTGAACAGTTGATAATGAATTATTTTGGTTGATAATGAGTTATTTTGGTTGATAATACTACCTAGTTAAAAGAGAAGTCAGACGAGAGCACAGATGACAATCGAGCATGCACCGTCGCCCGAGCGGACGGAAGCTCCGTGCTCCGCGTAACGGTACGCACACTGTTAGGATTCCGTTTTTGCCGATTGAGGAAAGGAAGTACAACAGGAGGGGGGGTTTAATATATTAAAATACGCCCTCCACGAATGCAGGGCCTTCACATCTCTTCACACGGGCCTGGCTTTCTGCAACCAATAGATCATGGAGGTTACAGAGAAGGAGAACGACTGCTACGTGCTATAGCATTAGCCCGCCTGTCCCTGAAAATTTGTAAAATTTATAGTTCATTTTTCTGCCACCAGCCGCGCTTACGTCGGTAAGTGTATCTGTGAAGTTAGCTGTTTATGACTACAAGTAGATGAAGTTAGTTGAATAGTGTACGAAATTTCAAAAAACAATTTATAATTTATTTATTAGTAAATAATAATAATTTCGTTGTCTTCATTTTTTTTCTTTTAATGATATTATATGTACACCATTTCAAATTAGCGCACAACAGCCCGCTTTTATTGAAACAACTTAGCGATTGCAGCGCCTCACTTATTTTATCCATATTTCTGAGACACTATTTTTTACAGCGATCATTCTCTAACCTACATGCAATAGAACACCCAGTGCGCGGTTGTCATTCAAAAACATTTGTACCCTAACGTCTATCGATTCTCTTTAGCAGAGAAATCCTTCAAGGGATGTTGGGTTCTCAGGCACTTAAGTACGTTTAAATTTTGAGTATGAAGTTCTGAATTGAAAGGCTTTTTAGGGTCCCAAAGTGGTCACCACTGCGGATCACCGTCGCGACTGGGCGAAGAACCGTCGGAAAATCATAGAAGGAGCGCAAGCTAAGTTCGTGCTGTTCCCGCCAGTGCCTCAAGCATGCTTAGAGGACGAAGCCTTCGCTGCACCACCAGGATTTAAACGACCTAGGTCTGCGGATTAATGGAGATAGAGTAGAGAGAGAGTTTGTTTATAAGAAACAGAGAGGAGCTCGTTAGCGAAGGTGGTTAGCGCGTTCAACCTGCGATCGTGAACAGTTAAGCAGCTTTCACAATGGTCTGCTATTGGATGGGTGACCAAAACCTTATTATCTCTCGCTCCTCCGTTCTTCGGAAGGCACGCTAAGCCGTTGGTCGCGGCTGCATCTGCAGTCATTAGTGCCCACCAATCCGCACTGGGCACGCGTTGTAGGTCATCGCCCAATCTCCCTATTCCATCCATTGGGAAAGAACTCTGTTCCAGCAGTGGGGACATATTACTACTACCGCGACCAACGGCCTTTCCTACGATTAGAAAGGGAGATTGTGCTATGACCCACCACGCGTGCCCGGTGGCGGATTGATAAGTGCTAATGACTGCAGATGCAGCCGCAACCAACGGCTTAAGTTGTAGTCCGAAGCACGGATGATCAAAAGATGATAAATTTTTGGTCACCCATCCTATGACAGACCCCTGCCAAAGTTACTTAAGTTCACGATCAAAGACTGAACACTGCGTCATCGAGCTCCTAGCTGATGACAATAATGGCTGCTGTCAAATTTATGTAGGCTAATACGAATAGCAATCTGAAGTGCTAGCAACAAATTATCCTTACGATTTTCAGTTTTCACTTACCTATTGGAGCGCATTTTACAATTTGCTAAAGAAAATTGAACAGGCCAATCACAAGTACATGAACAGGTGCCGGCGACCAATAGGATCTACCTAGGAGCGCCTATACCTAATATGTATTTCTATATATACTTATATTTGTATATCTATTATATCCGTATTCTGCCCATTACTTAGTTACGTTAGGCTGATTGGTGAGTGTTGAAATATTTATTATTATTTATTTATAAACTGGAAGGAAACATATAGTACGTGTTCTGTGCTGATAATGATGATATTAAATCCAGAGTGTACATAACGTTGCGCATTCGCGGCTGGGCGGTGATGGGCGTACTGACTGCTGAGCTGTTTACCGACGTGTGTCCCAATACATGCCGTTTGTTCGTCGAGCTGATGGATGGAGATGGCTCGGGATTTGGTTACGTGGGCACCTGCTTCTTTAGGTAAGTGTTAATGCTGTAAGACCATAGATGGCACTAGTGTCTAGTTATTTTTATGTCAAGTACATAGGTACTAAATCAAAATAGTTTGATGAAAAAAGAAACTTCTGCTAAGAATGGGGGTTACATGCAGCGCTCAGACATTTGGTATCAGGAGCGTATTTAACAACTAGTAAAGTTTTTTCCTTTCTTACACAGCACAGGAGACTGGATGTGTATTTTTCCTCGGCTATTGCTATTTGATTACCTTTATATTTTAAATCTATAAAACTATCATCATCACACTAGTGGAACTCAACCGACCGATTTGCGATCTTCTCCCGCCAAGTTTCAGGGCTTTCTCGCAACCGCGGCGGCTACATAACGGATTGCCCACTCGAATTGGAGTGTCTACGGATGTAACTTTCACCTTACAGAATATATAACTGTCTTACTTGACTTACTGAGCCTATAGCATGAGTACCACAATTTACAGTATATCACCCTAACTTAATAATAAGTTTTAACTTTTACTTATATCAAAAGGCTGCGCCCTTTAGTCAAGTGGAATTATTAGTTGATTTATGATATTTTCCATAATAGCTGATTAAAATCTTTTTGTAGTTTTGACAGTAGGTATAACCATGATGCAACAATCTTTCGTGTTGACGTAAACTGACTGACGTGTCGCGTCATAGGAAATATCAAACACCACAAAATACTTAAACTTAAATTTCTTCTGATTATGGTCAAACTTATATGGTTCTTCACATTTTTTTTCACTAGTATTTTCCTGTTTCTGCTGCTCATTCACACTAAAATCATAAACTTGGACGCCCTTTCGATAGCTCAAGAAGAGGAGGAACAAGATGCTGCTTTCCGATTCAGGTTTTAATGGCGCGGGAGAGATCCTCATAAAGGTCGTGAGTCCCGAGGGGCAAACCTTCACTGCAATCTTTCCCGAAGACACTCTCATTGAAGAAGTTAAAAACAGAGCCATTGATTTCTTCTACCCAAGCGGTGAAACTGGTTCGAGTCGTTACAAAGTGGTCCGCGTCTTCGATTCGAGTACCCTTCACGAGTTCTTGACTCTTGCCCAGGAGCAAGTGATGACACAAGAGGAATTTCTCTTGGTAGAAAGGAGGACGCCTGAAGCTGGTACTTTGTGGGACTTGGGAGCAGTCCGTGCTCCACAGCAAGGCACAATTGCGGCGGCTACAGCATCGTTACCTACTCCTCAAAATACAATGCGCCAACCAAACCTCCAATCGCTACTGTCTACTAACGAGTTGTCATACGAATTGAGGAAGATCTTAATATCTCTGATCGAGGCAGGCGCCCGGTTAGCAGCAGCTGGTAGGAACTACGAAATGGCTCTGGCACAGCTGTCTGCCGCGTTAGACGAACCGCAAAGGATCCACCAGAACGTGATCCAAGTCATCACACCGGAGGAGATTGCGGCGCGATTCGATTCCGCGGACATTCAGAGCGAGTCTGAAGAAGCCACGTCTAAGTCTGGTGGTAGTAGAGAGCTTTTTAAGCGCGCGGAGCACTTGCAGAGATTCTTAGAGAAGTTTAGAGCATGGAGGTTTAAGATCGCCCAACCCCCGAACACGGAAGCCGTTTCGACGCTGAAAGATTTGGGGTTTACTCCCAACGAGGCCGATGAAGCGTTGCGACAGACTGGGAGTAACGTGCCAGCGGCGGCTTCGTGGCTGATCGGCGAGCGAGGATCGAGTGTGTTCGAGTTGATCAACGGGTTGCCAGACGGCACGATCTTGGAGACACTACTGAAACAGCCGCAGATTCAGAGGGGTTTACTCAACACTCGAATGTTGATTGCGTTCATCGCGATGGTGGGACAGACTGGTAGTGCTTCGTTGTGGCTCAATTCCCCGCATGGTAGTCCGCTGCTCTCACAAATATCACGCACTTACCATTCGGAGAAATATTGTCTGGCCGTGAACCAGTTCTCGCAAGACAAGCGGGAACGGAAACCAGCGTCTTTGCCTTCTACTTCGAGGCAAAGGAATTAAGTAACCACGTTATGCTGATTTTGAAGTTTTTCTTTACATATAATAATGATTTGTTTTACCGAAAGTAATATTTTAAATTAAAGTTATTTTGATAATTCTTGGAAGTTTAACACTTTGGATTTTTGAAAAGTAGAAGTATATATTATGTAGGTACCTATATAAAAATATTTTATGGGCCTATTGCGGATAGTCAGTGGGTCTAATTAGTTAATGAGTTGTGACCTGTATGGTCTCAATAAACAGTATCTCTGATGCTAGGAAGGTTCCTGGCCTGTACTGGAGCGGTGGGGATGTGTCCCACAACAACGGGTTCGGTTGCTACGCGCAGTGCGGTCGCACCGTGCCTATAGGCGCTGAAAACTTTCACTTTTCGCATTCAATGCCGGGTAGGTGCATTTGTAGTTATCTAATCATCATCAGCTTTAATTAATGTCCCCACTATTGGGGCACAGAGTTTGGCCCATGCCATGACCCACCACGCGGGCCCCATGCGGATTCGTGGGTGCAAACGACAGTTAATTATTTAATAATTTTAATTCATTATAAGTAATGTAGTAATAAATTGTGCAATTATAAAGCATCTACTCGATTTAATACGGCTTGAAGGATCATGTTTTAAGTTGCCATATAAAAATAACTTTATATACGTCCTTTTTTATTGCCAGGACTGCTATCCATGTGTGTGACCAAGGACAACGAAATGTGTGGCATATTCAACATCACCTTCAAGCCATTGCCACAATTCGACCTACACAACGTTGTATTTGGAAGGGTATGTATACCTTTCGTGTTACTTCCGTAAGCAATATTTGATAAATCACTGTTCTTTTGTAAATCTTTTTACTTTGGTAATAACAATATTAAAGAAAATGAGAGCGAAAACCTTCGGCTGTCAGAAATAACAAAATAAAATAATAAGCTATGTACTTATAGTACTTAATTGCCAAAGCAAACCCGATAGGCGGTAGGCCCCCAGAGTGTTTAGAATAGCGCCATTGGATGAAAAATCTTTTTTTTCATTAATTTGTTTCATTTATGAATTCAATTTGTAATCAATAATGTTTAACTTGATTGACCATTTTGCGTCAGATTCTTTTGATGTTTTTAACTAACTTGTCAATTTCATCATTCATCATCATCATCATCATCAGCCTATAAATGCCCCCACTGATGGGGCACAGGCCTTCCCTATGGATGGAATAGGGAGATTGGGCCATGACCCACCACGCGGGCCCAGTGCGGATGGTGGGTGGTAACAACTGCAGATGCAACCGGGACCAACGGCTTAACGTGGCTTCCGAAGCACGCAGGAGCTCGAGATAGTAAATTTTTGGTCACCCATCCAATGACCGACCACTGCGAAAGTTGCTTAACTTCAACGATCGCAGCCGAACGCGCTAACCAGTTGCGTCATCGAGCTCCTCAATGTCAATTTAAGATGTGAAAAAAAAAATATTATTATGTACAAAAAGTCTGTTCGGTGTTGTCGTGTGAGGCGGGTCATTACGTTCCCTAAAATATGGTAAAGCGAAGCGATGGCTGGTTCATGCGTCATGCTCGTGAACGGGTGCTGCCAGCGGAGATGAGTCTGCCCTAACTTCCTTGATATTGAAGATGTTTAGTACACTTAATATAAATAGCACTATTTGTATTTATACTGTATGACACAGCAATCAAAATGCAGTAAGTAAGCAATAAACAATTAATGTATATTTAATCATTATGTAATGCAAGGTGACTTCATGAATCATCTCTGAAGTCATTTTTCAACTTGACGACTCTGTAAATAATAAAACAGGGAGAAAAAGGCAGCCCTTGCTGAGTTTGCTAGTTTCATGCCGGTTTTTCTCAGTACAAGGTCTCCCGCCGTAGATTTACGAACCGATGGTGTATATTCTAGACATTCATGAGTGCTTGTAACAGCCTGAACTGAAAAATGATTTTGATTAGGATTACAGAGGCCCAAACCCGAATTTTTGACAGCTAACGTATAGTCATTCAATTTTTTTTATGGAAAACCCTAGTTTGTTCTTATATCCGCGTGGAAGTCCGTCGCTCTGTTGATTTTAACAAAGAAACTTTGACGATGCGTTACGTTACGGAGCTCTCGAAAATTCGTGCTTGTATCTCAGCTCATGAAACTAGCAATTTCTCTACATTAGACGTGTCCGTGATGCTAGCGTACCCACGATCAATATACGGTTTTTCGTTATGCCATTAAATATTGCGTAAATAGTGCCAAATTAGTGTAAAAATAAAAGAAATAGTGCCTCTTTGATTTAAGAAATATAGACCATTTTTACTGTGTACGCTAGCATGACGTCAAGCTAGCGTACCCATGGCCGTCCCCAAGAACGGTATATATTTAAGCAAGGAAATTGACACACAAAAATAGTTCGCAAATATTGCCCTGGCTTTACAAAATTTCATAATCAATACTCATAAAGGACCAAAGATATTGAACTTAACATTCTTAGCTGGCGTCGACCTGGCATACCCATAATAGTTCTCATAGAAAATGATCTTTTCTCGTTATCAATTCTATATGTATTAATAGTGTGTCAAATAGTGCATCTAACAGTAAAAGTATTTAGCGCAGCGCTTCTCTATAAAATAACAGAAACTGCAGTCACGCCTGCGGCCGTCAGCTCCGTGTTCCCGCATAACGCCCTTAAAGAATTCGATGTTTGTCATCAACAAATCTTGTATGCTTTTTTTAGATAGTGCGCCCGTGCCGCACTTACGAGAGTATCTCACAGCTGGGGTCTGCTCTTAGTACGTGGCCGGTCGTGGAAGTCAGTGCCACGCGCCGGCAGTTAGAAAACGGATGGGTGTGCGGCGCGCCGAATACCAGGGTGCTAGATATAAGAAGGCTGCATCGCAAACGACACGAACAATAGTTCATATAAAAAAAATATTTTTTAAGCATTAATCTGCAACGCAAAGTAAAAAGTATAAAACAAAGTCTATGGTTCTTTTACTTCAAACAACGCAACGGATTTTAATGCAGTTTTCAGTATTAGATACCCTTGTCATTATAGAGAAAGGTTTATTTTGTATATTGGAATATTGCTCGCACCTCTGGGATGGCTCCACTAAGTACTTCCTCGATGCCTTGGATAGGTTACAGCGGCGCGCTGCTCGCATCATTGACGATGAAGAGGTAACTAACAAACTAGAGTCTTTACAATTACACTGCGATGTGGCATCTTTAAGCGCATTCAACCGACTATACCACGGAGAGTGTTCTGAGGAGTTATTCTCCCTTATCAGTCCATCACCTTTCCTTCAGAGGTCGTTGCCACCGACTTACTTTGACCACTATTCCTACACGACCAAGAAATTTGGTGACTCGTTTCTTTGTCGTATTATTCGTAAGTGGAATTCTTTGCCCGCGCACGTGTTCCCTCCTTCTTACAATCTGGGGTCCTTTAAGAGAGGCGCGAAGAAGCATTTTTGCAGGCCGGCAAAGTGAGAATGATTGGTGTGGCAGTTTATAACTGCTGTATCGGCTATCTTCGCGTTTGGACTTTATCACCACTTAACATCAGGTGGGGTAGAGTCATTTGCCTGTCTATATTAAAAATAATAAAAAAATGGTTGCCTGTAAAGTCGGTTTTACGGGCGAAGATTTTACGTGACAACGTCTTTTTCTCGGTAGAATATTTATTGATATGAATATAATTAAATTGCACAATAGGAACAAGGAATTGAATGAAAATAAGAATTGCACAAATTTTAACTATAGAAATATATTTTGTTTACTAAAACATTGTACATGTAAACTTAAACTCATCGTAACGTTACCGAGCGTTACACTTTTTCATAAGTGACTCCCAGCCGCAACCTAATTTAAGACGTTGTCACGTCAAAATTACATGCCAGAGAACAATATATATATAAGTAGTCTTCACCAAAGCGAACGCGTATTAAATCTATTTTATTTTGATGCGCAATGGCAAGTAAATTCACAAAAAATTGCAAATAAACGAAAATGAAACTCACGAAAAACAAAAGAACACAGGCTTGAAAATTTATATGGTTCATTTTCGAATTTTTGACGTGACAACGTCTTAAATTAGGTTGCGGCTGGGAGTCACTTATGAAAAAGTGTAACGCTCGGTAACGTTACGATGAGTCTCTCGTGTTAAGTTTAAGTTTACATGTACAATGTTTTAGTAAACAAAATATATTTCTATAGTTAAAATTTGTGCAATTCTTATTTTCATTCAATTCCTTGTTCCTATTGTGCAATTTAATTATATTCATATCAATAAATATTCTACCGAGAAAAAGACGTTGTCACGTAAAATCTTCGCCCGTAAAACCGACTTTACAGGCAACCATTTTTTATTACAAATTTCAGCCAACCGCATTGTAACTGAATTAAAAAGATATGCATACGTACTACAATTTGTATATCACTTTATTATTTTTTTCACGTAATAAGACATTCCTTTCATTTAAAATGCTATTTTATTTCGTAAAACATAATCCTTATGATTAACCCTTTCGATGGTTATCATAAAATAAGTCGTGTTTTTTTTTCGAAATTTCACGAGTTTGAATCCCAGTTGTAGCAGGCGATTTTTAAAAAATCTGTGTAATGCTAGTTATAATTAAAAATAAAATGATGTCTTATTTCAGTATAATATCCTATCTTCAATATTTAATATACTTTCCCTCCGTGTGAGGTAGCCGTGGGACGCCCTGTATATGTACAATATATGTATTCTATCCGTTACCCTAGTATCCCATAATACAAGCCTTACAGTGCTTACTCTGGGGCTAGGTTAAGGCGCTTAGCAGACGACGGGGCGGGGCGGGCCGGTCAATTTCGCCGCGAATAATAGCACAAAGTGAATCCTATACTTCAAACGCACACAGAGGGCAAAAAGACCGCGCCGCAGGTGCTCGGCGGGCACTGACGGCGCGGCATGTCCGCGGCTGACCGCCGTGGATCATACAAACCAGTTTATATGCAGTAACGCAGACGGCGGCGCGGGGCGGTCAGCTCAGTCCGCGCCACGCGCTTTTTAGTGATGGACTATTCACTAGTTCTAGTGGAACGAACGTCCTGAACTGACCGCCTCTGCACGTTGTGTGCTTTGTGTACGCGGCGCGGGCAGCCGCGGTCTTTATTGCTTCGCGGACAAAAAGCCCGCCCCGCCCCGTCGTCTGCTAAGCGCCTAATTGGTGTGAAAAAAAAATGCAAACAAGAGTAGGCAACCGACCACTAATTATGCTTACACCGAGCTGTAGGCGGTACGGCCATCGAAGCCGCGGTAGCATAATGGTCCCATCCACCCGGATAGCGGAGGGAGCAGGGTTCGAGTCCCGTATGCTGCCTGCAGGCTTATACAGCTTTTACACTACCCAATTTTATAGGCCTTATCGAAAGGGTGGGTGTGTCCCCTAGCTAGAATAGCAATTTATTATTACACCGCCCTATCAATCGGACCCTAACTCAATCTGAAAGTCTAAGTCGTCTCGGTTGAACGTCGTCATGGAACTCGATGCATTCTGATCATTTTTATTTTTTTCTTTTTCACTTTATCTTTATTTAAAGGGAAAAATATAAAACATCATCAATTTTTATTCCAATTCTCACATAATTAAATACAATGTAGGTAACCCACAATGTCAAATGAATACTTTTTCAAGTATTAAACATTTGAAAGAAGAAGCAGCATTTATAGTTGTTTTTATTTTATTGTTTAAGCATTTAACTGCTAGATGTTTAAATCTAAATAAAAGATTTAGTAGAATTTCTATTAAAACCTTTCTTTAGATTTTCTTTAAAAAAAATAGTTTTCGATTTCTGTTAGCTACAAAAATTATAGATCTCAATTAAAATGAAGTAACAATAAACTAATTCAACTACAAAAACGTCCGTACTTTACGCTTTCAGATGGTCGACTAAGCCAATATAATGTACTCTATGGACTAAGCTCCCTTAATGCCCAACAGCAGGGTTGCCAACCATAGTTTTTTTTCCTCGTACATATGAAGCTAAATATCTCGTAATCTGGCTTTCGAACCTCGTACACGATTTGCGTCGTCCAAGTAACGTCTAAAAGCACGCAAAAATTGGACGAATTGTATAGAGGAAAGGATGCTAATTTGGAATACTGCAATATACAAATATACTAAAGCGCCATCTATGAACGTATACCAGTTTCACGTAGTCTATGTGTTTGGAAACAAAATAGGCTAGTTGACTCATGTCGAATTGTACTAAATAAATGTTTATTTCTTACAGTATTTGGTCTAAGGAACCTAAATATATCGATTTTACTTCATAAAAGCAGAATATTGCTGTAGAAATTTAATTTAAAAAAATTTTTTTTAGTCTATATTTTTTAAACACTAAAAACGCTGTTCGCCACATCCGCCATGATTTTGACGTCTCTTTCAGTAAACAACTAAATGTCATTCGCGTGTTATTGTGGGTGGATTCTTTAGTCTGAATAAATTTATCTTAAAACACTTTTATCTTTAGAAAAGTTTCCGTTTACTGTTTTTTTTTGACAAAACTAATTATGGATGCCTGCTTTGTAAAAGCAGAAAGCACAAATCTGAATTTTTTGCACTAAACCCCGATTTCTGCTCTGCGGAGCAGAGAAACGACAAGGCATCTATGTAAGTACAGTGCATTTAGTATTACAATGTAGTAATAAACATAAAACTGATACAACATATGAATAAGTGTAATAAAGTTGCGTAGGTTAATTTCTTTCGGCACTTTAATCCACAACATTCCTGGAGTCTTCAAGGATGTGGTTTTATATTCTCGTACAATACAATAATGATGATTACTTTATTTTTCGTGATATTTATTAGAAATCATGTTCTTTTTATTATAAACTCGGATAGGTAAGTTATTTTCTACGTGCTTACGGGTTTTTGTTTACTACTGTTGACATCATAGCATAGACAATTTATAGACTAAAATGGCCGACAGCGTTTTTGTATGTCCATGAAAATTCTATTTTAAAATTAAAGATTTGTAGCTTTCTAGGTCTCAAAAAAATACAAAACATTTTTTTTCGGTCTAATAGAACATTTATTAACCATTTAAAACCTTTTTCCAAAAAGGGTCAACTAGCCTATTGAGGTGGCTTAGAAGCAGCCATATTGACAGTTCCGTGACAAACTTCATCGGAGTGAAAGTGCTGACGAGAAAATTCTGCGTATTTTTTTTTTATGCGGTACCGAGCTGCCGTCGATGTACAGGCAGACACCCACGTCACCACGTTCGTTCCGTCCTCGAACCACCTGGTCTCAGCCGCACAGACGGAAAACGGTCTGACGGTCTTATATTGGTACCGTGGGAGAAGGGACGATGTTTGGTGTGGGACGCGACGTGTGTCAGCACTTTCGCCGCTGCCCATATCGGCCGCACGACACGCAAGGCTGGGGCGGGCGCTGAGTATCAGGCAACGGCGAAACGCTTAAAGTATTCCTCGTTGGGGCAAGCATATATTTTTGTGCCTTTGGCGGTGGAAACGGCTGGTTGTTGGAGCGCAGAGGTCAAGCAATTTGTGTGGGACCTGGGCCGCCGACTCAGGCAAAAAACTAATGACCCTCGCTCCGGGTCGTTTCTGACACAAAGATTGTCTATTGCAATCCAGCGTAGCAATGCTGCGAGCATAATGGGCACCTTTGCGCCAGAAACGAAACGGGGTGATATTTGAATATTATTCTTGTACATAATGTTAATTTTAGTTATTATATTATATTTTATAGGGTTTTTAGTTTTAGGTTCATTGTTCCTGTATATATATTTTTTTAAATCCATAAGTTTGTATGATTTAAGTTATTATTACTAGTTTGTATCTTGATTGTTATTAAATTCAATTTATTTTTTTACAATATTAGATTGATTTGTTTGCTTTACAAAATTTTAAAATAAAACTGTACGCGACGACCGAAGCGAGAGAAAATGAACTTACGACAATATGAGAACAATGTAAAAAATGTATCTATAATTTCACATGAATCGGTTGTATACGCATTAAAAATATCATTCCCTTGTTGTCTTATTAGAATGAGTCGGATATCGCAGTAATAGATAGCTCTGCCCATAGCAAACCGTTGTAAAATTGATAGTTCAGAGCGATATTCCGCCCCGTTCTCTCCAATAATCTTATAAGACTTTATCTAAACGATCGCCACGACGCCAAGCGGTGGCGCGGGGAAACTAGTCAGAATACTGATAGTTCCGACCTATAGGAGGGACGGAGACAATAGGTTGTCCTTGTCTCACATCTTATAGGATTTTGCCTGAGTTGATAGTTTTCGATAATAGTATGTTTTATGTTTTGATTGATTTATTTTATGTCTTATTAGAAAGTAGGTAGTTATATATCAAAGTTTTGTATGAATCGTGTTAGTAGTTTAAGCGTAATTAAGGAAAATATTGGGAATAGTTTTTTACGAATAGTCAATAGGATATAGGTATAATTGTTATAATAATGATGTTATTTTGTGTGTTTTTACTTCTTCTATAAAATGGTATATGATAGTTAGGCATTAAGTGAATGTAAGTAGGTTTTTTAAGACTTTTTAATTTGTAAACTTTATAGGGCCGTAGAGCTGTTGTTTATTGATATTCTTGTAAGAAACTTGTTGTATTAGATAGGTAACGCGTAGGGCTACGTAAATAAATAGGTATCACATCAATAAGTGTAAAAATGTACCGTGTAGGAGACAAAACCTGTTTGCATAGAACCATTTTCTGAGACATGTTACGCTCCCCACCCGGCGCTCCCGGAGCGCGCGGGTGGGGCAGCGAAGCCCCGTGGCAGGGCGAAGCCCTATGGAGGGGGAAAGTATAAATATTGCGGAGACCTATTTTTTGCGCGCCACACCTAAAATATCATGCTTACGGACACATAACTGTGTTAAAAATATGCCTAAATGTATGCCCGATGTATGTACAATTAGTTTTAAGCTCACACTAATGTAATTTTTGAAAAAATGAAAAATAAAGTATAGCATGGGTGAGGTAATGGATCGCTGGCCAGCTCAGTCCTAGCATATAAAATTCGAGTCGGAACATGCTCCGACATGCATTCAGCGACAGGCGCTCCTACCATAAGGAACAGGAAGAAACAATCAAGCGGTTCACTCTGGACCTGAAGCCTCCTCTCACCGGCCATCCATTATCAGCGCCCACCGATTTCTTCAATACCGAACACCAGGGGTTTTATTCGCCGAAACTACAGTCCACTACAGTCAAGACTCCTGCGTGTAACTTCCTCCACCCCTCAGTACGAGTCGGTAACTGTCCGCTACTGCGACAGCCCGGCGTCCCGTACAAAAACTATAGCAGAAAAAATCTTGGGGTTTTTGTCGTAAGCGTTTTCCAAGGTTAATCCAATTTCGGCGGAATACAGTAGTTCCGCCGAAATTGGTATCCGTCCTTTTGCGAATCCGTCCAAGTGCGAACATTTGTTCGCAATCTCTCCTCCTCGCACAGGCTATCCTAAGTAACGTGGGAGAGAGACATTTAGTCGTGCGTCGGCATTTTCAATTCCTTTCTTTGATGACATGAGTTATATCTATAACATATATTGTACTGAAAGCAATTTCTAAATAAATAAACAAAATAAAACAAAACACAATACATCTTTTACGAAAAAAATATATTTACGTATATGCAGTCAAAAACATCCGTTTTATAAAAAATATCAATATTAATAATCAACGAATCATTCTTACATAATACTTATCATATTGTACATGTTTCTGTTCCACATCACTCAGGGTGTATAGTGTTGAAGTAACCGCATACATTAAAGAATTGGCTATTCCACTATGATTATATTATTTTGCTCGTAACACACTCAAACACAGAATTCGTAACTTGACCAAAACTTGGTCTGATTGCGTCGTTGCTCTAGGGTGTGAGCGATGATTGGGTCGATTGTTTGATGTCGCGTCGTCTGATTGGCTATTATCTATTTGGTGGAAGTGTAGTGGGGGCAAGCCGACGACATCGCTACCCGTACAAACGGTCTATGAACACGCTTCTAACCTCTTTCTGTTCTGTGACTCGTATGACCAAATTTTTATGATTAAAACTAGTTTTAACGGTTTAAGGCACGAAACTTTATTTATTTATTGACGTTTCGTAGCCTTTTCAGGTCTGCATCGTCAAAATAAATTCAGTCATTATTATTATTCTAATGTATGGCCCAGAGTACCAGATTTTAAAATACGCCCCTGCCTACAAATATTTCACTTCGTTTTGAAATTAAAAGTATTCCAATCACCTCACAAAAAATTTTGGTAATTTAAGAAAACACATAAGTATTAAAATTTCTTCTTTAGCTTTATTTACAAACGGTGAGCAAAATAACAGAACCATAATGAAATAATCACTTACGACTACAATAGGAATTTCCATGAAGCATTTATGTTAATTAGCAATGAATGAGACCAGCACATTTAATTCGTGATTTAACATAATTTCATTAAATAATAATCATGATTTTTAACCAAAAAGCTGTATAGTCTAGTTAACAATATCTGATGCAATTGCAGTGCAAATATCGCCCTTATACTTACGGGATTAAGGCGTTGCGAATGTGATATTGTATTAACAATGTGAATTGGACTATGTATACAGAATTTGGTACGGTTCAGTACTGAAGGCCTCGTGTTCCGTACTGAAGGCCTCGTGTTCGGTACTAAAGGCCTCGTGTTCCGTACTGAAGGCCTTGTGTTCGGTACTGAAGGCCTCGGGTTCGGTACTGAAGGCCTTACTAGCATTTAAGCTTATCATTGAAAACGTCTCACTAGTACACTGATAAAGTATGCAAAACAACTTGTTTATATAATGCCATGCTTACTAAATTATCTTAGTTTCAGGAAGAATTACTTTGCAAAACGTCAGGTCATAAAATGCACAAGTGGGCAGAATGAATCAATGTTGGACAAGGCATTGATTGTATTAAGGAAATTTATGACCATTTAACTATTAAAACATTATGGCATTAATTCGTTCCGTCTACAATGGCTTATTGTAATGTGGGCGTTTTCCGGACCAAGAAATTTTGTTACCCGGACAAATACAATTTAAGTGCTCTGCTCGCTAAAGCTAAACGCAAATAAGGCCTTCAGTACCGAACCCAATATTTCAGGACTTTGGAAAGTACATTTTTTGTGCTACGTATAGATTGTTTAACCTTGGTACCTACTGAGAATCGTAAAAAACTACGCTATAGGCTTTGAATAACATACCCATACACTTGAACACTCCAACACTTATTAATAATCACATGTAAACTAAGCTATTTATTGTCTGCAGTATTCTAAAACTTGCTCTTAAACACGGTCACATAAACAGAATTTAATAACTCTAAAGGTACGCACACATAACGCCTCGAAAATCGTCCTCGCCTATCACCTCATTTGATTTGAGAGTAACAGAATTATTTGACAAGAATATACACACAGAATACCGTTAAAAATTACTTATAAAGTGAACGGAAACGGACGCTTGTATGTATCTTGAGACTTGGCTAAATAAGTAGATTCACTTTAAAACGCACAATTAATGACATATAAATGCAGGCAATGCAAGTTAAAAGGATAACTAGACAAAAAATCAAAGACAGGATTCAGATTGATGGCCCGCGTGGATTTTTTCTAGTAAAATTTGCTTTACATTTGTAAATCTAGCAGTTGAAAACGTAAATTTAAAATATAATAAAATGTAAGATGATTATATTTCGGAACCAGTCCATCCAAAATGATGGATGCCTGTTAGATAAATGTGCTAATAATTGAGTAAAATGTCATGTTTACTAAAACTTCTAAAAAGCTTGTAAAATACTTAAAAATTGGCGACAAGAATATTAACCGAATAAACCGAGTCTCAAGATTCAGGCGATTACGGTCCGTTTTTGTAGCGTTTGTGTGCGTCAAGCTTTAGTTTTAAGAAATTTTAGCTATGAGAGCCCTAATAGATCTTCGTCCCGCGTCTTATTTTTGAGGTATCTAAATATTTTCCTGTAAATTATAAAAAAAAACAAAGTCATATATGTGTATTACCTGTCTATAATTATCGCCACAATCAACTTTCATTCGTGTAAAGTTATTTTATTATAAACTATATAAAAAATGCAAGAGTTACTGTTTCTTAAGTTTTCACGCTTCCATGCTGCACCAATTTTGATGAATTTCGGTATACAGACATAGGTCTTGGAGAAAGGACATCGGCATCAGCCTATTAATGCCCTATGGATTGGGATAACGGGCCGTCACCCATCACGCGGGCCCAGCACGGATTGGTGGGTGCTAACGACTGCAGATGCAGCCGGGACAAACGGCTTAACATGCCTTCCAAAGCACGGAGCAGCTAGAGATAGTAAATTTTTGGTCACCCATCCAATGACCGACCACTGCGAAAGTTGTAGGAGTAGATCCGAACCTACATCGACCTTCACCGAGCGGATAATAGAATGAAATATATTTTTTCATGAATTTAGTATATTAGAAAATATATTAAAAAAGGGTTGCCTAAAAAAATCCTGGACAAATATATTTTTTAATTCGTTTAAAAATATATATTTTTAATTAATTGTTGCAACTGCAACATCGAAATAATAAGAAAATGTTGTCCTGACTTGAACTATAAAACGTATAGAATGTGCTACCATTGGGTAACGTAACTGGCATCGACATAGCTGTTTATACCTAGCAACCCAGTAGTTCGCCCGGGTAAATAATAAAAACCCCAACGGCTGCACATTTTCTACGTTTTATACTGTAAATCAGGACAGTATTTTCATAATATCTTTATGTTGCAACGTTTTTTTTAATTCATTGTAAATAGTCTGTCCAGGATTTTTTTAGGCAACCCATTTTTAATATATTTTCTAATATACTAAATTCATGATAAAATATGTTTCATTCTATTATCAGCTCGGAAGTCGATGTAGGCTCGGATCTTAGACTATTGCTTAACTTCAACGTTTGCAGCCGAACGCGCTAACCACTTGCGCCATCGAGCTTCTCTTTTATATGTATACATGTATAGATATCTAGTTATTGCTAAAGCGTATTCATCTCACCATATAGCCCTCGGCACATGTCCCCAGTCTCGCGGCAGGGTAGCCAGCAGCTTGTTGACCTCCTCGTCAGTAATCTTGACGTCTGACACTACTCGGGTCACTTTGACGTCACAAGCGCACGGGAATGCGACAGGCTCGTCTGTCACTAATTGGAGACGCATTGTCACTTCCCATACGGAGCGCAGTGGGATGTTAGCCACCTGTAAAAGATTTTGATTTTTTTTGTGAAATATGGGTGGTAAACAAGCTTATGGGTAAGCCGCCACCATGGCAGAAGACTTAGATTAAAATAAAATGGGAAGTTACGGTACATATGAGCGTACCGTCAAAGTATCAAATAAAATAAGCTCTGTCTCAACTACATAAACAACTCACACACGCATACGTCTGTAAATAAACATTCAATCAAGCGAGCGAGAAAAAACTGTACGCTTCAACGCAGAGAGAGCGAAACGGCGAGTCCGCTTCCGAGTGCGAACGGCTAAGCTGTATTGTTGTCCTTTTCTTGATAACAAAATGGCGATTACGTAAATAACATTCACTGTGAATTGTTTATTTTTATTTATTATTTATTTATTTATAATCAGGCTACATAGGCCCATAGATATATAGTCTAACATATGTACAGATATAAAACATTGTTGTTAGTAAATATAATTATTAAATATGTTAGTAAACACCTAACTAACACGTATAAACGGCGACGTGTGACGCGAAGTGGTGTCAGGTAACCGACCTCGGAAGCGCCGGAACACTACACCTTTCGGCCAAAGATCCTTGAAATGAGGGCTATCGCGTCTGAAACCGCCGCTAGAGGCGCTTGTGTTGCGTGAGGTCTCCGAAATGTCAAATGTTATAGCTTGCGGGTTGACTACGCGGTTTTTTTCTAATTAAAATAATAGTTGTGAATATTTGGTAATAAATCAAACTTATTATGGCAAATATGAGTTACGTGCCAATGATTGTCAGTTATTTAAAAGCGGAGCTAAGAAAAAATATTGTCCTTCTTTTTTCCGAACAAAACGGGACTGCGCAACACTGTGACATGGGCGATTATGTTTAAGATACGATTCTTTTGTATTAAAATGTAAACTTTGATATCACGGGCGTGTTTACTAACTTTAAAAGTTACACTTCAGGACCTCACTCAACAGTGGCGCCATCTGGTGAGACAAAAAACGATAGCCCTCATTGTGATTGTGCACCACAATGTAAGCACTCACTTTTGAGCCACGAGTGTCGTATCTTCCCTTTCCTTTCCCTTAGGCAAAGATTATCACTTGCGCCGTTACCCGATGAGGATTACCGTTTTTTGTCTCACCAGATGACGCCACTGTTGAGTGAGGACCTGAAGTGTAGCTTTTAAAGTTTGTAAATACGCGCGTGAAATCAAGGTTTACATTTAAATCATATTTTAAAACGAAAGAACCGCATCGTAAACATAATCGGCCATGCCACAGTGTTGCGTAGTTCCGTTTTCTTCGGAAAAAAGGATAACATAATATTTTTTCTCAGCTTCGTTTTAAATCACTGACATTCATTGACAAGTAACCCATATTTACCATAATTAATCTGAGTTAATACCAAATATTAACAACATTATTTTAATTAGAAATAAACCCGCGTAGTCAACCCACAAGCAACAACATTAGAGATTTCGGAGACCTCACGCTACACAAGCGCCTCTAGCGGCGGATTCATACGCGATAGTGCTCATTTTCTCTATAATCGCAGTCACTCAAATCTCAAAAAGGCTCTCTTAGTACATGAAAAAACCGTCCAAGTGCGAGTGGACGAAGGGTTCTGTACCATTATCTATATATGTAACATATATTATAATATCGAGCATAAAACGATAAAAAAGTCACATCCGTTGTATGGGAGCACCCCTTCAATATTTATTTATTGATGCTTTTTTTATGATAAAGGGGGCATACGAGCAGACGGCTCACCTGATGGTAAGTGATCACCGTCGCCCATGGACACTTGCAACACCAGGAGTATCACAAATGCGATGCCGGCCTTTAAGGAAGGAGTACGCTCTTTTTTTGAAGGTTCTTGGGTCGTATTGGTCCGGAAACACTGCTGGCGACAACATATTCCACAGTTTTGTCGTACGTGGTAAAAAATTTCAACAAAAACGCACGGTTGTGGATAGCCACGCATCAAGATGATGGGGATGAAATTTTTGTCGCGATGTACGATGGCGAAATGCAGCAGCTGGAATTAATCCGAACAATTCCTCAGAACACTCCCCGTGATAAATGCGATAGAAGATGCAGAGCGAAGCTACATCCCTACGAAAAGCCAAAGGATCAAGCTGATAGGAAAGGTCCTGGTCGTCACACACAGGGGCACAGGCCTTCCCTATGGATGGAATAGGGACTGGCCATGACCCACCACGCGGGTCCAGTGCAGATTGGTGGGTGCTAACGACTGCAGATGCAGCCGGGACCAACGGCTTAACGTGCCTTCCGAAGCACGGAGGAGCTCGAGATAGTAGATTTTTGGTCACCCATCCAATGACCGACCACTGCGAAAGTTGCTTAAATTCAACGATCGCAGCCGAACACGCTAACCAGTTGCGCCATCGAGCTCCTTTAATAATAATAAACTAGCAAACCAGTGAACCAAATGTTCACCAAAAACTGATTTAAAAAAAAAAGTATTTAATTAATTGAGAACTTCGGAGATTTTGTGTGGTTTCGTTTGAAATTCGTCATTTCTCGAAAACCGGAAGTGCTACGTTACTCAAATCCGGTTTGTAGTCTTATCAGACTATTCTTAACTTATAACTTAAACATTCTCTTTATCTATCTCTTACGGTTTGGCCGCTGAAACAGCACCACAGACAGACGGACGGACTTGTCTAATAGATAAGAGAATATCTTATCTGATCTTAAATACGTACCTTCAACGCTAGCGTATCCCCTTGCAGCGTGCACGCTAGATGTAACCTTGCGTCGTGCACCGCGCGCCCCCAGCGAGTGGCCAATCGCGCGACGGCAGCGCATCGCCGCACTAGCGTTACTACGCTACCAGCGCGACTACACCCGCGCGACACGTGCTGACGCATCGCGGCGCTAGCGAAACGGACGCACAACTCCGCGACAGAGTTCTGTTTGTCTACACGCCAAAAGAAAACGGGCATTTTTGTAATTTGTCATTGTAATTTAATAAAGCCTGAAATTTAGTACGATCTATACTGAGAAAAGATGTTTAACTTATCACTAATAAAGTTCATGTATCAATCCTTTACAATATGTGGCCGTTTCTAGTAAGTTATATAGATGTGTGATCTATATGTTTCGGAAGTACACACATCAAAAGTGTCTAGGGATCAAGCATTTTTATGCGGATTTCTTGAGATTGAGATGTGGCTTTGTAATAAATTTATGATTTTATAAATTTATATGGATCCTTTTTGGTGCATTTCATAATTTGAATCAGGAACTGTGAATCAAATTCGAGTAAAAGATGAAAATCAGCTGTCAATATTTTCCCTATAAAAACATACAACGCATTGAAGACATTATTAGTGCTACTGTTTCCCTACTACTGATTAAAACCAACGTTATTATGGAGCGGCGACGTCATTTAAGCAGGGAAGAAATGCTCAGAGCCGTGGGAATGATAGAAGCTGGTTCCCGGCAACGTACTGTGGCTTTAGCTCTGAATACAAGTCAGAGTGTTATCAGTCGACTTTGGACACGATACCGAAGCACTGGTACCGTGGCTGAGCGCCATGGAGGACGGTATCGCTGCACCACACGGAGACAAGACCGATACATTCAAATCTTAACTCGAAGAGCTCCAACAATAACCGCCATGATGTTAGCCGTGAGGCTTCATCACTCTTCAGGGAACTTAATTAGCGACCAAACAGTCAGAAACCGCTTGCATGAAGTGAACCTTCATTCCCGAAGACCGCTACGGGTACCACCTATAGCAATGCACAATCGTAGGATTCGATATCAATGGGCTCTTGAACACAGAAATTGGGCAGAAGAACAATGGCGTTTCGTGTGCTTTTCTGATGAGTCTCGTTTTGGTATGAGACCGGATACAAGACGTATACGACACTGGAGAACCCCTGGACGCCAACAGCGATTAAAATCCTGCCAGGAAGTCCATCCTTATAGTGGTGGAACCATCATGGTATGGGCGGGTATTTGGATCGGCGGAAGAACTGAGTTGATTTGGATCAGAGGCAACCTCAACGCTCAAATTTATGCTGAGACGATTGTATCAGCCGTCATCGTTCCTCTACAAGTGCAAATCGGTCCCTTATTTCAGTTAATGCATGATAATGCACGACCGCACACCGCAAGAGTTGTAAGACAGACTCTCGCCGCAGCTAACATCAATGTCCTGCCCTGGCCTGCTCAGTCGCCAGACTTGAACCCGATTGAGCATGCATGGGATATGCTACAGAGAAGAGCTCTGCCGAATATGGAGGGTATCCAGTCGCAAGAAGACCTTTTTTTGTTGTTGCAACGAACATGGGCGGCCATTCCACAGCGTGATTTGGATGAACTCATTTTGAGTATGCCAAACCTATGTTCTTGTGTTGTTAGTGTTCGCGGTAGAAATACGGATTATTAATTGTTTAAGTTACCCAATAAATTTTAGAGAAAACTGTTATTTCAGTCTTTTTTTCGAACTTTTGTGTTAGTGGTTCAAATGTCAAAAATCCCTTTATTAGGAAAATGGCAAATTTCTTTATTAATGCAAAGGTGACTTGGTTTATCGTTACTGTGACAAACGAAAACACTTTATTTGATGAATCCTTAAAGAAAATTTTAATTAATATCAATCAGGAGAAAAGTTATTGCAAAAATATATGTTGATCCCTAGACACTTTTGATGTGTGTATTTATTTCGCATTTTTTCACGGATCTCAGCGGCATGTTGAATTTCAACGGTCCGCGCGTGACTGTGAACCGAGAAGTGCTTGAGTCGTATCCAAGCACTTCTTGGTAGGAACATATTTTGAGCGCATTATGTATCTAGGGCATTTAATATCTTTGGTTTTAAAATAAACTTATGGTACATACCAGTGTGTACGGTGTCCAAATTAACCGCCAATACTGGCGTATCAGCCCTTACTCGCGTTCTGGTCGCGTTATCGTGCCGGTGAGCCAAACGCACCGTGAGCCTCAACCGACCGTGCAGTAAACGAAACGCCCACGTGTCACTGCCTGACGGCTCCCATTCACACTCGTAACTACTGCAAAGAAGAATGTGCAGCTTAGCATTCAATATTCAACTATGAACACAAAACATACCATATCATAAACACATGCATACAGAATTAAATCATTATCATCAGCCTGTTAATGAAACGAAACGCCGAAATGTCACTGTCTGACGGCTACCATTTGCACTCATCAGCCTATTAATGAAACGAAATGCCTGTTGTCACTGCCTGTCGGCTCCCATTCACACTCGTAGCTACTGTTTTTTGAATTAGATCATCATAATCGGCCTATTAGCATCCTCACTGCTGGGGGCACAGGCCTTCCCTATGGATGGAATAGGGATATCAGACCATTGCCTGGTGGCTGCCATTCACACTCGTAGCTACTGTTATTTAAAATAGATCATCACTATCGGCCCTTTGGTATCTTCACTGCTGGGGGACAGGCCTTCCCTATGGATGGAATAGGGATATCAGACTATAACCCGCCATGCAGACTCAGTGCGGTTTCGTGGGTGCTAACGACTGCAGATGCAGCCAGGACCAACAACAAATGAGAGACCTTTACAAGTATCAAACATTCGAAAGAAATATGTATGTACAGTGTTGCCAGGTTCGCGATTTTCAATCGGGATGCGTTATAGAAAAAACAGTAGATGTATGGAAAGAGCTACAAGTAAAAACAGTACATGCAGAGGCGTACTTTTTCCGATCGATTTGCCGTTTAATGTTTGAATTAAAATATCATAATTGTAATTATATTTGACTGAACTCACCCCATGAATGGTAGCATGTCGATTTTAGCGACGACATTCACCGAAGAATCACACTCGGAGACTAAAGTTTTACTGGTACTGGGGTCTGTCCGCCAATCGGACCGGTCACTTGTGACACTAGACTTCGTATCAGTGGTTGTGACACTGCAAGCGTCATGCATTTCAATCTGATTCTTGCTGCTAGTAAAGGAACTCGCCATTTCCGGGCTTTTAGCACTGGCGTCTGTCACCGAAGCAGTATTTGCTAAACTGCCAGATTTACTCAGAGCCTCCAGTATATGTTTATTCAAAGCATCCTGGTCTATATTTTCTTGCAGTTCATACTCAGTAATCAATTGCTGTACAGTGATGTTAGTTCCAGGTTTCGTCTTTTGGGGAGATTTCTCTTTGTGTTTAGTTTTTGATTCTGATATTTCGTTTACGTTCAAGGATGTATCAACGTCCATATCGTGGCTAGAATTGTCTTTTTCGGCTTCCAATTTCTCAGAGTCTTTTTCCGGTTTATAAGGATTTGGACTGATGGACAGTTTTTGCATCTTCGAGACCTGTTTAGGGGTGTTCTCTAAGCTTGTCAAGTCACTTTGTTCGTGTTGGTTCCTTTTGGTGGGACTATAGATTCGTTTCTTGGCTTTGCTGCCATATTTCTGGGACTCTCTCATGTCGTCGTTTGATGTGGAAATCGACGACTTGTTTTTGCAAAATTCTTCTTCGTCATTCTGATAAATTATTTGCACTGCAGATAAGCGTTTTTTGTCTGAAGGTGATCCAAGCTTTTCCGAAGCAAGACCGTGATCTACGTATAAGTTATTTGAAGTGATAGCATCATCCACTAAAGTTAGTGAGGAACTTGTTTCTAATAGCTCCTTGTTTTCTTTCATTGCTATAACAGTGTTGACTTTAGTGTCTTTTAATTCATAAACTCTTTCGTATTCTGGAGCGGAAGTGGATTTACTCGAAATAGAAAAGGAACTCTCGTTGATCTGTATTTTTTCTGTGTCACCAACTTGTGAAAATGTTACGCTTTCTACATTAAATTGAGTTACATTTTTTCCACTGAGTTCTGATTCTTTAAGAGGCGTCTTTTCCAGATCTTTTTCATCATTCCTTTCGGCATAGATTTCGTTCAACTTAGGTTGATATCGATGCACGTTGGAACAATCGGGCGGCACCAGAAGAACGTTATTCAACGGATTGTTATGATCGAAAACTATAACTTTGTCTGAAATGGCGGTACTAGGTGACGCCAATTTGGGGCAAATTGAAGCTTCTGGTAAACGAACGGTCTTCGGAGACTTTAGGGAACTTTTTCGAGATTTGGGACCGTTAGAAAAGGAGGGAGTTGACATATTCCCTAGATTGCCAGACGAAGCTGAGGCGGAATTTGTTTCTTCTATATTGAGATCGATTTGACTTGAAGTAATCAAATTAGTTTGAATTTGAGTACTGCAGGTAGAAGGATTTTTGGGTATATCTTTACTCTTGTCGATGGTCGAAAAGGGAATCAAATCTGCGTTAGGCTTGACCAAATCGGTCATCAATGCTTTAAGTTCGTCAGACACGTCTTTTAAATAACCCGGGATTACTTTAACTTTACTTTCGTTCACGTAAGAGATTTCACCAAGCGCAGTTTTCTTAAGAGGGGAAGGTTGAATATCGCTCTCTAATTTATCTTGAAAGGTAATCTTGTACGAGGTTTTCAAAGGAGATTGATTTGATTCTTCAATATCTTTACTTTCTTTCGTGTTAGAAATATCACCAAACGCTGTTTTCTCAAGAGGGGAAAGTTGGATTTCTGTCTTAGTACTTGTTTCCCTGGCTAAGTTATCTTCAATGGGAACCTTGCACGAAATTGCCAATGTAGAATTTGATTCATCAAAATCTTTACTTTTTTTCATGTAAGAAATTTCTCCGCACGCAGATTTTTTAAGAGGCAAAAGTTGGATATCAGGCTTGAAGCTCGTTTCGCTCGCCAACTTATCTTCAAGGGAAATCTTACACGAGCTTGGCATTGCTGAAGAGGAATTTGATTCTTCAATATTGATATCGATTTGACTGGATGGTGACAAATCAGCCTGAATATGCGTGCTATTACAATGCGTGGGTATTGTTTGTGTATCAGCACAAGTTTCAGGCTCATCTTCAAATATAATCGTTTTATATTTTCTGGCAGAAATTATATTTGTGTTATTTGCTTGTGAAACAGATATGTCGCTAGTATCAATTTCAGAAATAATTGTCTTGCGGTTCTCTTTATCATCGTTTTCAAGCATTAAATTAACAGGTTCAGCCTGAGTAACAGATAAATTTGCAATATTACTTTCATGCACTATTGTTTTCCTATGCTCTGAAATTTTACTTTGTTCCGATAAACTGACATTCATAGAAAGAGTTTCATTAACACATTTCCTCATCTGCAAGTTTGTTTCATCCGGTACTTCTTTTAAAAAGTTTGGTTCAATATCTTTTTCCATCATGCCAGAAACATTGCCAGATATAGCGTTGTCATTGAACGATATATTATCAAATTTGACATTTGTGTCCATTACAGACTGATTCGTAACGTCAATCTTTTTTACAATTTCACCCATTAGTTCATCGACATTAGGTGGTGAGTGAATATCTATCATAGCACCAATTTTATTTATGGAGATATTGTTTATCTTAGAAATACCAAAAGATTCATTATCCTTGCATGGCACTTTTGAATTTGTATCTTCAGCATTTACCACTTTAGAACCAACATCACTATATGTTATTTTCGCGTTATCTTGCGTTAAGGCAACACTATCAATATCCTTCACCTTATCTATATCGTCCTCTGGTAGGAATGATTTTTTTCTTTCAGCCATAATTATATTTGAACATATAGCTTGCGTCATTGAAATATTACCAGACTCTTCATTCGAAATAATAGTTTTGCGTTTTTCTTTGTTTTCTTTTACTAAGACAACATTAAGAGATATGTCTGATAAATCGTTTTCAAAAACTATTGTTCGTCTTTTATCCGTAGTTTTGTTATTTGTAATTTCACTAAAATTTTTAGCATAAGTTTCACTAATAGAATCTGTCATCATAGATTTTATTTCAGCAGGCATATCATCCAAAATTGACTGTTGAACTTGACTGTTTATTCGTGAGTGTTCTCCAAGAAGTAAGTTACTAGACGAAGAATTAACATCAGAGGTAACACGCATTTCTCTTATTGACTTGTTCTCAAGAAATGATCCAGAAATAATTGTCTTGCGTTTCTCTTTATCTTGTTCCTGCATTAAATTACAAGGTACAGTCTGCGTTACAGATATATTTGCAGAATCACTGTCATATACTATTGTTCTTCTTTTTTCTGAAATTTTATTTAGTTGATTCTCTTTATCTTCATTATCCAGCATTAAATTACTAGGTATAGCCTGCGTTACAGATATATTTGCAGAATCACTGTCATATACTATTGTTCTTCTTTTTTCTGAAATTTTATTTAGTTGATTCTCTTTATCTTCATTATCCAGCATTAAATTACTAGGTATAGCCTGCGTTACAGATATATTTGCAGAATCACTGTCATATACTATTGTTCTTCTTTTTTCTGAAATTTTATTTAGTTGATTCTCTTTATCTTCATTTTCCAGCATTAAATTACTAGGTACAGTCTGCGTTACAGATATATTTGCAGAATCACTGTCATATACTATTGTTTTTCTTTTTTCTGAAATTTTATTTAGTTGTTTCTCTTTATCTCCATTATCCAGTACTGAATTACCAGGTACAGCCTGCGTTACAGATATATTTGCAAAATCACTGTCAGATACTGTTGTTCTTCTTTTCCCTGAAATTTTACTTTGTTCTGGTAAAATTACATTCATGGCAAGAATTTCATTAACACCGTTGATCATCGGTAATTTATTTTCATCCGGTTTATCTTTTAAATAGCTTGGTTTTATAATATTTTCAATTATGCCAGAAACATCACCAGATGGAGCGTTGACATAAGGCGATTTATTTTCAAACTTTACTGTTGTGTCCCTCACTAACTCATTTTTAATATCAAACTTTTTCGTAATTTCACCCATTAATTCATCGACATTAGGTGGTGAGTGAACGTCCATTACAGCACCTATAGGTTTCGTTATGGACATATTGTTAACCTGAGAAAGTTCTAAGGATTTGTTGCCAAATATTATTGTACTTTGTCTATCATTATCTTTACATGGCACATTTGAATTTCTTTCCCCAACAACTGTCGATTTGAAAGGAACATCATTAGATATAATTTTAGCGATTGGAATAGTTTGTGTAAAGGAGACGTTATAAATATCGTCCTCTAGTGGAAGCGTCATGGATATATTGCCAGACTCATTATTAGAAATAATAGTATTGCGTTTTTCTTTGTCTTTTTTTACTAAAATATTATCAGGCACATTCTCTTTGTTTGGATTAACTATAACAATGTTGACCGGCACGGCCTGTGTTACAGATATATCTGCTGAGTCACTTTCATACACTATTGTTTTTCTTTTCTCTGAAACTTTACTTTGTTCAGGTAAACTTAAATTCATAGACTGAATTTCATTAGGACATTTGCTCATCGATGATTTAGTTTCATCCTGTACTTCTTTTAAAAGGCTAGGTTTAATATTTTTTCCCATCATGCCAGAAATATTACTATACAGAACTTTGTTGTTAGACGTGATATTATTAAACTTGACATTTGTTTCTAATACAAACTCAGTCTCATTGTTAACGTCAAACTTTTCTTTTATTGCACCCATCAGTGCATCGACTTTATGTGGTGAGTGAACATTTATCATAGCCCCAATAGGTTTAGTTATAGACATATTGTTAATCTCAGATATGTCTAATGATTCATTATCTTTGCATGGCACATATGAATTTCTATCTTCAGCACTTATTGGTTTAGGACCAACATCACTTGATATTATTTTCGCGATTGGTACAGCTTGCGTAAAGGAAACGTCAATATCGTCCTCAGGTGGTAATGATTTGTTTCTATCAGCCATGTTTATATTTGTCGAAGTATTACTTTTATCAGGAAAAAATATATTTGAAGGTATTGCTTGTGTAACTGATATGTTGCCTGTGTCATTTTCGTAAATTATAGTCTTGCGCTTCTCTTTGTTTAGATTAACTATAACAATGTTGACCGGCACGGCCTGTGTTACAGATATATCTGTTGAGTTACTTTCATACACTATTGTTTTTCTTTTCTCTGAAACTTTACTTTGTTCAGGTAAACTTTCATTCATAGACAGAGTTTCATTGGGACATTTGCTCATCAATGATTTAGTTTCATCCGGTACTTCTTTTAAAAGGCTAGGTTTAAATTTTTTTCCCATCATGCCAGAAATATTACTATACAGAGCGTTGTCATTAGCCGTGATATTATTAAACTTGACATTTGTTTCTAATACAGATTCAGTTTTATTCTTAACGTCAAACTTTTCTTTTATTGCACCCATCAGTGCATCGACATTAGGTGGTGAGTGAACATCTATCATAGCCCCAATAGGTTTAGTTATGGACATATTATTAATCTCAGATACGTGTAATGATTCATTATCTTTGCATGGCACATATGAATTTGTATCTTCAGCACTTGTTGATTTAGGACCAACATCACTAGATATTATTTTCGCGATCGGTACAGCTTGCGTAAAGGATACGTTGTCAATATCGTCCTCAGGTGGTAATGATTTGTTTCTATCAGCCATGTTTATATTTGTCGAAGTATTACTTTTATCAGGAAAAATTATATTTGAAGGTATTGCTTGTGTAATTGATATGTTGCCTGTCTCATTACCGTAAATTATAGTCTTCCGCTTCTCTTTGTTCGGATTAACTATAACAATATTGACAGGCACGGCCTGTGTTACAGATATATCTGCTGAGTCACTTTCATAGACTATTGTCCTTCTTTTTTCCGACGCTGTATTTCTTTGAGGTAAAATGATATTCGCCGGAAGGGATTGTGTCATAGATACATTGCCAGTTTCATTATCATAAACTATTGTTTTTCTTTTTTCCGAAGTCCTAACTGGCGGGCTACATCCATCAACCAGGGCTATATTTTCTTTGTCTGCTACCCAATCCCTTTCACGTGCGTTTTTATCAAGACTTAATGAATTACTTTTAGAAACTTCTTGCACTTTAGGACTGGGAATAATATCAGTTATGGACATGTCACATACATCATTTTTTATTGTTCCATGGGTTAAATTTAAATCAACTTCAATGTATTCTGAAAGATCATTTCTACCATTGAAGGGACCAGGACAGAACCCATTACTCTGGACTCTCTGCATATCTTCTTGAATTTGATCTAGATCATCTATGACTTCACTGGGACCTATTGCCTGAATGGCGGAGAAATTTACATCAATTCTATCAGTCGCTTCACCCATAGTCGGAATAACAAGATCTTCACTGAAGACATTGGCTTGGTGATCAGTGAACAAACTCATTTCGAAATTCTGTTGAGGTGCCAAGAGTGTTTTGTCACCTCCAGTGCATTCTAACGAGGCTAATTGTTGAGTGAAATTTGCTTTATTCAATGAGGTATTGACAATTCTTCCAGAGTGGTTATCAAGGGAGGTCATGAAGTCGACGGCCTCGATTTCCTGAAACTGCTGGTCAAATATCCGCCTTCCGAGGTGACCAACAGTTTGTTTTGGCGGATGGTTTGCTAATGAATCGTTGCCTGACGACTCTAGCGACTTGTTGTGCTCTTCGTAAAAGTTTTTCCATGTCGTTGTCGCTTCGTTTGTTACAAATTCTCTGGAAATGAAACAATTTTAATTTACACACAAAATCTAAATTAGGTTATTTATTTACTTGTTTCATTGTGAGAAGTATAAATTCATCAGTTTAGTTGCTGGCTCTAATGTTGTCCATTTTTTGTTGACTATTAATTGACATATCGAGTCCAAGATAAGCATTAGTCAACATCAAGTATTTATATTTATCAAATTTAAAATTGTACAGCTTTAATAAATGGTTTTTTTTAATGACAATAAAATCAACAATGGTGGACAAGGCAACTTCTGAATTCCTTCAACTTTTCCTTAGTTAATTTTATATTAGTTAAACTTACGCAACACCCGTACGTCTAGAGAAACTGACACGGCGACTTTTGGCCGTGTCTGTGGGAGTGGCTACGTGGAATTCCAGCTCTGAGAACGGTGTGCGCGGTGGACGCTGACTTTTCAGTATCGAAGACCTCCGCTTGCGTCTAAATGAATAAAACAAATAATATTATTAATGTCTACGCAAAATCTAAGGCAGGGCCCAGCGTGGGTAGCTAAAAGAGAATATACTAAACTTGTCAATCTTTTTATCCAGCTTTGAATCAGAAAAATAAGAAGGAAGCAACCTAGCTGTGTGAACCTAGCACCCGTTTGTAGTTGATTGCAGTGAAGGAATTTCCGTTAGCAGTAAAAAATAAAAGGAAAAAAACATTTTTTCTGGTCTTCGTTTAAAACTTCTTCAAAATTATAAAAATTCAAATTTCTTGCAGGAGATAGCTTGCACCTCGTTTGTAGTTAATTGTAGTTAATCTTTTTTTCGTTTGTAGTTGCTTCAAAATTGAAAAAAAAAAAATATTGCAGCCACATATCCAAAATCATTTGTAGTTGCTTCAAAATTTAAAAAGAAACTAATTTCTTGCAGCCACGTATATGAGTACTGAAGTTGATTATACTGAAAGAATTTTCGTTTGTAGTTGGTTTATAATAGAAAATGAAGCATTTCTTGCAGCCACATATCCGAAACCGTACATTTGTGAATATGTAGCTGCAAGAATTAAGTTTTGGTTTGAATTTTGAAACAACTACAAACGAAAAAAGGTTACTACCATCAACTACACACAATTTTACAATATGTGGCTTCAAGAAGTAAGTTTGGAAAAGGAAATTGATATCTAGACCCTATCCCCTAACCCCGTGTAGCCCTGAAACCTACACCAAAACGAATACAACACCACCAAAAGTTCTTCTGTGAGGTTACCTACCCAGACAGGTGCACTGATACAAACGAAACATCCACCATGCCAACTATTACAAACACAGGAGCCTCCCAAATGCTTTTAAGGGCAAATTCAAAGGATTACCCAAATCATATCATAGATGCTGATGAACTGGTGTAGAAAGGAACTGGTACGACTCCAACAGGTCACAAACCAATCATCTTTGTACTGGTAAGCTAGTTAGTCAGTAAAATCTGCAAACGCACAGTCGCACTCCACCAGCAACACGGATATGAAGGCCAAACTTACTGGTAGATTTAGAATTGATTATTTAACTTATCAGTGTCACATCCCTAACCTGATTTCCCACCCTCATGATTTTTAACCAATCCTTGTGGGTTACCCACACATCAATCTTGATGACATACTTCTGATATGACATCCTAGTCGAGCAGACGCAGTTCACATATATGCACTTAGTAGTCTCAATGATTACGCAGCGATCGACAAACATTTTTACCCTGCGAGACGCAGTGTAAAAATAAATGTTAAATTGAGCAAAAAGTTTTTACTCAGTTTTTAAGCTCATTTAACCATCTTTTTATTGTGTTTTTAAATATACATTATTATTGCTCAACATAACAAATATTTTAGCTACAGACCATAGAAACACTAAGTGGGCCGATAGATGTGTCCCAAAGGTCTAATCAATTAAAACGTTAAATTATTTCTAAAATCATTCTATAGCACTTCAATAAATGAACAGTAAGGCAGAGGCAATTAAGACTGCGACTATCCACCTAGGTCTGTGGTGGTTTGATGGGTGATAATAATTCTGCATGCTTTGCAAAACACAGAGAAGTTCATGATTGCTACAATGAGAAGACTGAGTTTTCAAATATAAAAACTTATTAAATGTAAAAATATTATAGCATTGAAATAAATTCATATTGTAGCTAATCTAATGAGGAATTTAAATTATGAGCATGTATTAACTTGTATAAATTATGTTTAATACATACACTTATCTTAGTTTCTGTAGTATAAACTGATTACTTTAATAAATATGTTTCATAATTATGCAAGGTAGACAGAGCATCAAAAATGTTATACTACAAGGCAGATAATTAAACTTTGTCGTGCAATTTAAGAGCCACACATTCTTAATTTTATTGTTATTCATAGTCTATATTTTTAGTTAGAGAGCTGTTTGCTAGTCTGCTCCACTGCACTTTCACTTAAGTCCTAGGAATAAACATTAAGAATCACAGCTATAACATAACTTTATAAAAATTTGTTAGGGAAAAACTTACGTAGCAGCAGCGGCCTCGTCGAATGCACGATTTTGATGTGTTTCGTCCATATTTTTAAAAGCCCAAACTCAAAGCAATACAACGCAAGTCATAATATAATCAATAACATAATATCTATGAGAAAACTCAAAAATTGTTGATGGAATCAAACAAATCAAGCACCCTCGATTCAAACAAAACATACAAACGAAACGGCAAAAGCAACATTTAAAATTTGACTTTGACAGCTAGTTTCTATCTGTTGGCATTACTTCACTCTCTGGCCTGGACAAGCTCATAGACAAGGCTCTCACTTTGACTTAGGGTACGGCCACAGTGCACGCTGGTTCAGACTCAGAAAACATACTCGTGAGATGTCAGCTTGAGGAAAGCCGATGATGGCCGCAGTGGACGCAATACGCGTTTTAGATTATACTATTATAAATTGTATTAATAATGAAAGTACAAGAAAAAAGTATTTGTTTACCTTCAAAACCTATTTCTCCAGCGATGTTTTGCCAGCACCTATCAACGACATTCCTATTTGAATGGTTCTTGTCTCTTTTATCCCATATAGCAGGGTTAAGAAAAACTTTCGCGATAAGCGCTTCTATAATCATTATGTTAATTCTAAAATATAAATCAAGAAACAAGAGAAGAACGCAAACAAGAAGCAAGGCACTAAATGTTTGTTTATAAAACAACCAAGAAAAAGGTTACATAAACAACTATAACCTGCAGTCCGAGCGGCGCTGGTGAATTCAGTATCTGAAACAAGAATGACCTGAAAATTCCGGTAAAGTCCCTGACTCCGAACCCTGCGCAGGCAACCAGCTGCCTGCTGCCACTATGGCCACACTGCTTAAACTACAGTGTTTATTTCTCGCGCTTGTTTTTGAGTCTGAACCTGATTCTGAACCAGCGTGCACTGTGACTGTACCCTTACGTGATATTCTCTGGCGGAATCTAATCAGATCAACATTTCGATTATTTTATGGATTCTTGCACTAAAATTTTCAGGGTTCCGTACTCTGCTTGAAGGGTTTGTTTCATAGACCCGCCTCTTACAGACGATTCCCAATCAATGGGCGTAATGCCTGCTACACATGTAACGATTTATCGTAACGATTAAACTGTGCAAATCGACTTGCACAGATTTATCGAACGTGTGTATGACAAATCGTTGTCGATTATCGTTCGTCGGTGGCAGTTGCAATTTTTATTAGATAAATCGTTGTCGATTGCGTTTGCACAGTTTTATCGTCGCGTGTGGATGGCGATCGCTCAGTTCGGCTGTAGGCTCGCAAGTGTGCGCACGTGCGGATCGCTCTTATATAGCAACATATCTGAAGAAGAAAGAGGTGGACACCATGAACTAATGCAAGATTTCATAGAGAGCTATAGAAGTGAAACTTGCCTTTGGATGACCACATCTAAAGATTACCATGATCGCGAGTATCTCATTCGTAGCTCGAACGAATACGACACTACGATACTACGACGACAACGAACGAGACACACCGACCCCAAACCGTTCTACACCTACACCAATCTCGATTTGACTAAGAGCTTGCGGTGATATTAATCTAGAAAACTTCATAAATTCGTAGCAACGTCCTGTAGCTAAAAATCGTAGTGTAGCAGATAATCTCTCATGAAGACTTATTGCTTCTCTCATTACAGTGTCTTGTTTCTGTATTAGTGGAGAAACTAAGGCCAGCAGATTTAAGTATGTTTCCTCATTTATTCTCAAGTAATTATGCCAATCTTTCGAGGCGAATTTCAACTCATTTAACAAGTTGGTATGAGAAAAATTGCTTCCTTTTCATGAGCCAGTCTACACCACACACTCCGCTCCTTTTTTTCTTTAAACACATAACTACTTAGGCCTAATATCGCAAGTGCGTCATAATCTTCCATCGTGGATGCCATGTTTCTTGCGTGAGCTTCTGCGGAGAACAGACCGAACAGACAATCGACGGCGATATCGAAGGCATGTAGAGTCACTAGGAACGTTCGATTTATCTGCAAAGTCTGAAATCGCTACGATATATCGTTACGTGTGTACCGACCATTACTAGTGACGGTGACATGACGGGGGTGTTAAGAGCCTGCGCTGCGTTAAGCGGGAGCATGGACCATGCATCCGCAAACAAATTGGTTCATCTTTTGAAATGCACATTTTAGTCCTGCACTACGATAATAATAGTAATGGTTTGAGATATATTTTACTACGACAATTAAAGCGATTTTTACAAAAACAAAATACTAACAGAATAAAGGCAACGCCAAGTGCGGTGACTGTAAGGAGTGTTGTGTAGAAAGAAAATATTCCTAGCCAAATGAGTATTACAGCATAGTCTTCTACACTTGTTAATTCAGACATCACACAACTGTATTTATTCCCACATTATGTATAAATTTTACCCAAAATTTTGTAAATATGATGACATCGTTGTAAATTAAAACGGATGACTTTGACAGTTCTTATTGTAAAGGTTTAAGTTTGAAACTCTACTCTTTTTAATGGCGATTGGCCGATGCATAGATTTAAGGCCAATACAGACTTGTGAAACGCGACGATGCCCGACTCCACGCGACGATTATTTTCTATGATCATCTTCAATCTCTCATCTTCTTATTCTTTCTATTAGAGGGACACTTCCACTTGTAGTATAGTGTGTATCTCCCCTACTATATTCTTATACCTCTATGGGCCATACACTATGGTTGCTTTCCAATTACAGCATTATAGCGCATTATGCGGCATAATGCTTAACGTTGAGTGTTCCAACTACAGCAACGCTTCGCACGATTGAGCACTCTCAAAAGTGATGCTTTCGTGTGATGCGTGCAATCGTACCAACTTAGAGACAGAAAATTGACAAGTGTTTTTTCTTTAAGTTGGCATTGATCGAAATGTTTTATTTATATGTTATCGTTAGTCATATTATTTATTGTTGAAAAATTATTAAAGCTTTCGTTTCATTAAATAGTTTTTTTTAAATAATCAGAGTTCATTTAAACTGTTAAAAAATAAATATAAGTATGGATGAAGGTACAAACATTGACTTTTTTTTTCAACACTGAACTTAGCGCACTCTGCTGGTGCATTTGAAAACTAATTCTCGTTCCAATTACGCATCAGCATAATTCAGCATTGTGCGGCACTGAGTCGCATTATGCTCTGTAATTGGAAAGCAACCTATATATAGTGCGTAACAAGTTTATCAAGAAAACTTTTAAAATCAGTAATAAAAAAAGTCCTTCCTCGATTAGGAATTGAACCCGGGACGCCTGCGTAACAACGAGCTCTCTACTACTGAAACAACTTCAGCTCCCGGTGATCCATCGCCTCTACATGGCCTCTACCGATCGCATTTCGAACGACGAATTCTACGTATTTTATTCAATACAGTCCACAACCATAGACTACCAACACTTTTTACCTTTCACCATTAAATATAAACAAGTATTTCCAACACTCGCACCAATAAGCGTAGCCCCAAAGTAAGCACTGTAAGGATTGTGTTATGGGATACTAGGTTTACGGTTAGAGTACATATATTGTACATATATAAGTATATATTTATAAAAATACATACTAAACCCATGACTGGAGTAAAATGCTCGTATCCATCACACAAACATCTGCCCCCACCGGGATTCGAACCCGGGACCTCTCGAGTCGGCGACACCATGAAATCCATCAAACACTTGGCCAAAACACACGGCCGTCAAATACATGTCAGTAACTGTATCACCCCAGTGTAGCAGTCCGGCGTGCCGTACAATTTTGGATAAGTGTATACAACGCATACAACGTATAAAGCTTTATAACATAATTACAAAAATTTAATTATTAAAATGAAAGTAAAGAAAACTATATTTTTAATGGAACATCATAATTATTCAGAATTTCACAATTCACATTTTAATCATCATCATAATCCATTTCTGATGAACTAAAACAAGACGAGTACATAGTAGTTGTGCTGATAGACGTGGAATCCGACCGTTGCTGCGAGCGCCTGTAATAAAACATCGCGGTTACTTTATAATGAATTTTAAAACTATTTACTAATGTTATTAAATTGTTACATTGGTAGCTCTGATGCACTTTATACGAACAGAAAAATTGTTTTATCTATACATTTAATAAAATGGTAGGAAAGTCAAAACTGTACATTAAATATTTTTTTAAAAGAATACTTGGGGTGTAATCTACAATCGATACCGGAGCCAAAAATATAGTTTTTAGAATTTTTGTCTGTTTGTCTGTATGTATGTCCGGGATAAACTCAAAAAGTAATCAGTACTTTACGGAATTACATCAGGCACGAATATTATTAGGAAGTCGGGTCAACATATAGGCTACATATTATCACGCTATTACCTACGGGGAACGAGCAGTGAACCTTTATTTTTCAACGCATTCTGTTGCAACGTGTAATATAACGACGCATATTTGAATGTTGTTATTATGTTAATCATGCTATAAGCTAGCTTCACACTATAATTATGTAACTTAAGCCGATCAACATAATAGACAATATTTTAAAGCAGCGCCATCTATGAGATTTAAAAAAAACATTAATTCCTAATACACGTGTAAGCACTTTTGGATACAAATAAATCTATGAGATTTCAAAAACATCAAGTCGAATTAATTTGGCAGGTAGGTTCCTTAAAGGGTGTAGATATCCGCTAACAACGAATTTCTTGAAAATCCACCCGTAAGGGGGTAATACGGGGGTTGGAAGTTTGTATGAAAGTCCTATGTTTTTGAAGTAAGAGACTTGAAATTTAACATATATGCTCTATAGATGGTGTACAGGTGTACTAATAATGTGTCTTTAGAAATAAACCCCCTTTTGGGGTCAAAAAGTAGGTGCAAATAACCAACTCCACGCGTACGAAGTTGCGGGCGGCCGCTAGTGCTGCATAAAACAGAAAAAATGTTCTGTGGTTGTCTGTCATACATCACGTCGTTGAAATAATAGATTTTTTCAATTTATAGATAAATTCTATTAACCTGTGTTTGTTTAACTTTCGCCGTCTTTTAGTTTTACGCAGTGGTTCCTTTTTCACATTTACTCCGTTCCTCTTTGGTTTCTTTGCACCAGTTTTATTTTCGTTGTCGCTGTCTGTCGATCTTCCACTTTCATCATTATCTTCATTGTGGTGACTTGATTCTGCCTGACGCTTTCTTCTATTTTTATAAACTTCACAGGAGTCCTTGGGTACAACTTTCCAGGCCCCTTTGCCCTCTGCACGTTGCGTCTTCTACAAATTTTGGAGCCGTTATTAGTGGGTGAGTAGCTCGATAGTGCAACGCGTTAGACCTGCGATTGTAAAAGTTAAGTAACTTTTACAATAGCAGCATGAATGTTTTTTTTTAGTGTGTATGCGCTCACAGATGACCTTTATAGCGTCACCGGGTTATAGGGACGGTGAAATGCTAACGGGACCTCAAGCCGAAATTGGCGATTGCCTCTAGAGGTATTCCAGGCGGATAGCATCTCCCCACGGGGGGAGTCTCCTCTCCGTCTGGAGCCGCTAGACCGCTCGAACCTGAGGGGAGCATGAATGAGCTAGAATTAAATAAAATAGGTACCTACTTTTTGAACGGGTATTATGCGCATTTAGTGAGCGTAACGAGCGGTCCTCGGATATATGCGTCCGGCGGGATGACAGCCGATTTACCTGTACATAACGCTTCCCCAGCTGTGTAGTACCTAGTTTGTATTTGTGCACAAAAAGAGCTATCAATTAGCATTTCGCTCGACGCGCCCCCGGCCGCTCGTACCCGTAACCAGCTCGGCACACTGTGACGGCGACATCTACATGCCCCAAATATAACTAATAATAATAATAATAATAACTTTATTGCTTAAAAAACTGTGTACAATTATGCAGTTGGAATTGCAATAATAACATAGTCACAACAGTGTGCCCCATAACGGGCATGCAATGGTAAAATTTATAACTTAAAACTATCTTAATTTAAAAAGTACATTTTAGAGCCTAAATTATATTAAGTTTTACAAGTATAATATTCATCAAGATTATAAAAAACATTATTTAATAACCAGCTTTTTAACTTAAATTTAAACAGTGGCAAATTGTGCGCTTTAATTTCTGCAGGCAAATGATTGAAGATCCTAATGCTAGTACTGAAAGCGCTATTATAATACAAGTGATTATTTATCCTAGGTATGCATATATCATATTTGTATTTATTACGCGTATTCGGACGTAATGTGGTTTTATTTTCAAAGTATTCTGGATTTTGTTTAATAAAAATTGCTGATTGTAATATATAAATATTGGTCAAAGTGAGATAGCCCTTATCCTTAAAAACATTTCGTAACGTTTCATCTGAATACATATTATATATTATGCGTGAACAACGTTTTTGCAATAGGAAAATGGATTGAACGTTCACTGAATTACCCCAGAACATCACACCATAATCACTCGCCTCCTCAAGACATCTCTTGAGGAGGCGAGCAATTATTTCCTCCATGTTAGTTATATTTGGGGCCATCGCAATACCAGCACTGCGATCACAGTAGTTAGGAAGCCTACATCGCGCAAGTGAAATTCGAAGGCTAACACTCCATATATTCAATGTCCGACCAACATCAATCGGACCGCGGTACCCGAGCTAACATCACCCAGCTCGGAGGAAGATCTTCCCTTTAGGCCTTTCTAAACATCCGCCGGATCTCGACATTAAGGAACTACATTTAAAGATTTTTTTTATCGAGGAAACGAACATCAAACAAAAGTGTTAATTTAATGTAGCATTCTAAGAAAAACTTATTACTATGCAAATGAAGCTGAGTCGCGAGTGGTAGCTAGTAAAAAATAAATAGACCAAGATTTATTATCTTAAAGTTCTCTGTGCTTTGGATAACACATTAAGCCGTTTTGGTCCCGTTTGCATCTGCCTGCAGCTTGACTCACGCGGTGTGTAATGCATGATTGAATTGATTTCTCCCTATTCTATCCATAGGGAAATTCTGTGATCTAGTAATTAGTAAAGATATTAATAGGCTGACATTAATATACATACTTACATAAACTCGTAGGACTTCATTTATGTTTTCAAGATCTAAAATTGATATGTTTTGCACACATCCTAAAGCACTTCTTGATCTATATCGTTTCTTCTTATTAACTTTATGTTTACAAGCATTCTTTATATTTTTACGGCGTTGCGTAGAGCGCATCCTACAGAAAAGTTAAGGAAGAATTATAATTTTTATAACATTTTGACATATTGCTGACTTTTAGTCTAGAGTGGATTGGGTAGATAAGAATAGAATAGTGTCAAGCCTACTCCACACTTCGAGCGAGATCCTCGCTGATATTCACGGCGAGAATCACAGCGACAATCTTGGTGAGAACTTCTTTGGGTACACACTCGCAAGGTTCTCAGTACCTTTTGCACGCTCCTGCTGCGATAAGTTTGTTGCTTTGCGTATTTGCTTATTATTATTACCCTCGCTACTGAAAAAGAATGCGCGTGCGGAGTCAATGCAAGTTCTCATGTGTTCTTGCGTGTTTGGCTTCTTTGTCTCGCACCAAAAAAAAAGGCAAAAACCTGGTAACAGGGCCAAAACCTGCGAAGATTCTGTGAATCGGTTCAACATTCACGTTTCTCGCGTTTTTCTCGCTTTCTCGCTAGATTCTCACGAAAATATAGAGTGCCATTTCATACCCTTGCTTTGAACTTCCCTATAGATCGTTTGTCTGCTATTTAGGACTAATAACTATTTTACATTTGACCTTACTTGAGATTTTCCCTTTTTAGGATTTGCATTTCATTAGACATAGGACATAATTTAAACACAATACCATGGAGGTTAGAGAGAACGAGAACGATCCCTACGTACTAAAGCATTAGCCCATCTGTCCCTGAAAATTTGTAGAATTTATAGTTCATTTTTCAGCCACCAGCCGCGCTGCCGTCGTTAAGTAGTATCTGTGAAGTCAGCTGTTTATGCGTACAAGTAGATGAAGTTATAATTTTCTTCGCAGCATTGGTCTTTTCTAATTAGCGCACAACAGCCCACTTTTATTGAGACAACTTAGCGATCGCAGCGCTTCTCTTATTTTGTCCACAATTCTGGGACACTATTTTCTACAGCGATCGTTCTCCTTCTCTGTAACCTCCATGCACAATACTCTAAACATACAGTCAAGGAATTCAAAACAACTAACGGTAACGAATTTTGAAAACAATCTCTTCTTTTCTGAACTTTTTATAGATTATTAGATTATGTTGTCTATGGTTTGCTGTTAGCTATGGTTTAGAAAATCATGACCGAATCAGGCTCATTTTTATTATTAATAGATAAATAATCATATTTACCGTATTTCTTCAGTTGGTTATTGCTTAAAATTCTCAAGGGCAAAGTTTTTGTTTTACATTCTAAGGTTATATAAAAAGTACTTTATGGTTATAACCAAACGCAAATTGTCATATGACTGTCGAGAAACGGTAATGCCAACATTACGTAGTAATCCTCCATTTTGGGGCAGCTGATGTTTTTGTGAGATAGAATAAATTTACAAATTTTGTAAATAAAATCTCAAAATGGGTTATTCTCTTATCCCCATTCTTTTATTTTCTGCGCTTTGGTTTGTGGTTGGTGTCGTGTGCCCCTTCTTTGCTCCTAAGGGTCCCAACCGAGGGTGAGTAGCCGATCTCATGATAGTAATTTTGTGTTTTAGTATCTTTTATTTTTGTAATTTTTGCTCATTATATTCTATAATTGCAGGATCATCCAAGTGGTGTTAATGCTCACAGCTGCTTCATGCTGGTTGTTGTAAGTAAATTTGATTTTTTTCTTTAAGACAGCTGCTATTAATTTGTAAAAATATACATTAACTCATTAGTCATTTTATATTAACACGTTAATAAATCGTTAACAATGATTATCTACATCAATGTAAAAACTCCTAATTTTATTTTACAGAAGCACATAATTATCTATAATCTAAATATTTACAACCAAATTTAGTTTAGTAGTTAAAAAGAATCAAAAAATCCATATTGGTGTCAATACTGGCGTGATTTTCTAAACTTAAAACTAAATTTGAGGTCAGTTTCATCTTTTCATTCTGTATAGAGAAGGACAAGGATGTACTGTTGTCAAATTTAAGTTAAGCTTTAGAGAATCATGCCAGAATCGACATCATTATACACTTAAAAATCGAGGTATGGTCTTAAGTTGTATAACTTGATGTTACAAAAGAAAAATTAGTAAGTTTTGTTTTAATTCTTTGGACAGATTGTCATCTGAAGTCCCTTAAATTATAGCTCCAACATTGATATTGGATGTAAAGATAGACAGCGTACCTGTCGCAAGTGTTCCAAAAATTAAATTATGCAAATGTGCATATCATTGATTGTGAGTGATAGTATTGTTTTGTCAAGCTATTCTTAAAACACAGGGACCACAATATGGAGTCATAACACAAATTGAATTGTATAAGCACAAATGTTTTCTTAATTTCACAGAATTTAAAAATAAACTTTTATCAGAGTACAGCTTCACAGGGGGATGTTGGCTCTTACTTTATTGTGCCAGAGGTCATTTAAAAAAGCTGATTATGGTCAGATTTTTGTTAATAATGTTTATTTGTCAGATTAATTATTACTTAATCTAGAAAATAAAGTGTAAGGTGAATTTGTCACAATGTTTCCATACTATATGATATCGGCTAATAAAGTTTTATCTAAGTGAAGAACTAAAAGAAAATGGCATTATTGAATAACAAAGTACTAATTAAAATTTTCCCCTGAATCAACTATATTAGAAAAGTACATGTTAAAAGTAGTTTCGTAATAAGTTCTGTTGGTGGCCTTTGTGAACTGTAGCATGGGTTTTCCTTGAGCATTGACAAATAAAAATAAAATCAAACCTAACATGAGCAAAGCAGTGTGCAAAAGCTAGTAGATATACAAAGATATACCCCTTTTTGCCTTGATTTTTTTTCTTAAATTTTTCTTATACGTTGTAGAAGTTATCTATGGAATAAAATTGAGGAAGTTGCAAAGATGATACAGCTCTCAAAATCACATTGTGCAATAGTGTCCTTGTTCTACACACAGACTTATTTTATGAAAGCTTTTTCCTTGAGCATCAGCAAATAAAAAGGAAAAGACAATGTCAATACATTTAATGTTATTTCGCTCATTTTCCCCTGTAACTTAAAAATATGTCCAATAATGAGTGGTAGGGGAAAAAAATGTTTGGACGATTCATAAGAGCTATTCATTCAATTTGAATAAAGATACATATATTGTTTCTGATTTCTGAATGGGCTGATGATAATATTGAATGAACTATGAATTGAAAAAAAAATATAACAATTACATATATAATTATTTTAATGGTGTTTTTATTACTATTCCAGCTGGCTGTGTGCTTATATGGCGCAGATGAATCCGCTAATCGGACCCAGACTCAACAACGAAACGCTCATCTGGATTTCTCGCACTTGGGTAAGACTTTACTTCTTGATTGTTTTTGCTGCCCTATACCACAGCCTAGAATTTCGACCCCATCTTCTTCTTCTTGCTACGGGCGTTTCCGCAACTCGACGTCCTACCTCATATAAAGGGCTAAGGCTCAGGTATGGTGGAGTACTTCACAAAATGCAAGGTTGGCCCCTTAAGTTATACTGCCGTGCTCGAATAAATCCCAAAATCCTCTGTTGCGCTATAAATATATATACCAGTCTATCCATCACAAAACAAAGTGGCTCTAATTTTTTAACACAACTGGTCTGAATGTAGGACGGCAAAAACAATAAGGTTGTGCGATCAGAGCCATCTGTTGAAAGGCGAGTGTAAGTCATACTCGCACTTGTTCTATATGCGAGCTATAAATGGCGCGCTGCCACATTGGAGGCCGTCCCCCAAATGTTTATTTTGACATTTTTTAACCCCCCTGCCCCTTGGTGATACATTTTAAGGTGCAGTCCTGCATCCGCTTGCGGGAGTTCAGAGTAGTGTTGCCGAACTATCGATATTAAAACTATCGACAGTTTACATCTAAAATCATGTACCCTACCAATACAATCGATAGTATCGAAACTATCGATGGCACAGAACAAGGCAATACTATCGATACTATCGATTTTGTTGATTTTATCTGCATCAATAGTATCGATACTAGCGATTGTTTTAGACTATAGTTTGTGAATGGCTATAATACCTGAAAATTGTTAAACTATCGATAGTATGGATGCAAATAAAATCGACAGTATCGATAGTTTGTTATTAACGAACTACAGTACTATCGATGGTATCTCACTCATCCGATAGTATTGGCTTGTTCTGTGCTGTCGATAGTATCGATACTATTGATGTTATCTATACTATCGATAAGCCGATCGATTATCATACGATTGGTCGGCTATCGATAGTCGACTATCGATCGATAGCACTAGTTCAGAGGTCCAAGCAACTTTGACAGCTCCTTAATTATATCGCATCGCCAAAATCTCTAAGAAAACAAAGCAGCGCCCCTACCGGACGTAAAAACAAACTGGCTCCTTCCATACAAAATTTAATAAGGACGATACGTTTACGGAGCTGTCAAAATTCGTACTTTAGCCTCAGATCTGCATCATCATAGCAGATTTCGCTGCTCGACGCACGTGCACGGTAATAATATTACCGTGGCACGGGGTTGCAGTTTATTACCTCATTCCGCAAAAGCTTGCGGTAATGATAGTACAGTGCAGAGAATTGTTATCTACAAAGATAGGTACGCTTAGATTAAAACAAAAAGGGAAGATACGGCACTCGTGGCTCAAAAGTGATCCGCTTTAGTTGTGGTGCACGACCATAATTCGCTTTAGTCATAATTGGACATTCAAACACGATGCATATGCACTCAATAAAACAATATTGCGTATAATTTATGTTTAAAAAGATAAAACAATGCCTACGAAGCAGTTATAAAGAACACAAATAGTTCAAAATTAAATAACAAATGCCTCAGCAACACTTTTCATTCGTAAAAATGTATAATCATTTTTTTTTCTCAAAAATCACAGTTTGTCGTGAATGTTTTGTACGTAATCGCCATTTTGTTATCAAGAAAAGGACAACAATACAGCTCAGACGTACGGACTCGGAAGCGGACTCGCCGTTTCGCTCGCGCTGCGTTGAAGCGTACAGTTCGGTCTCGCTCGCTCAATTTAATGTTTATATACAGACGTGTGTGTGTTTGAGAGTTGCTTATGTAGTTGAGTCGGATTATATTTTGTTTGATGCTAGTATGAGCGTACCGTATCTTCCCTTTTTGTTTTAATCTAAGGAGGTACGTTCAAGCAAGGTAACAACCTGCACTCCCGCGCCTCGCGTATAGCAGTTAAATGCTTATAAGATTAAAATATAATAAGCAACTAAAGTCGTCACAAAATAAGGAGCCCGTTTTGACATTTGTCATCGTGGCGTAACTAGTGATGTACCATACGACTTGGTGCACGATACTTACGATAAATCGATTCAAGCTTGTAGAGTATTTGATTGATTTGACTATATTCACAAAGTGCATTGGATTTAAGTTATAATTAGAACATATAACGTAAACTTTAATGTTATAGGCAATTTGAAATGATACAATGGAAAGAAATGCCAATTTGTCTTTAATTTAAAAATTTAGCTCAATCACAACAAAATGAAGAAAAGTGAAATCAATCATTTTCTTCCGATGACAAGCCAGATGAGCTATCGTATATTATTTAATTTTTTATAATATTATCAATATTGACGTCTCTATCATAATCTTCCTTTATTATTTTTCGCGTCTTTTCTACCACTTTTACCCAATCTTCTTTAGTTATTTTTTCACAAGCTTCTTTTAACAATGTCATCATATTCTTAGTGGAGAATGGTGGCTTTGTATTATGACGTGCTGCGTATCCTTTGACCTGAACCCAGATTAATTCAATATCATTGTACTGACAATCGTACGGTGGCGTTCTTATCAATTTCTGATGTTGAAGTGCCAATTCATCGATTTTTAATCTTAATTTTGCAGGTTTATTTTGTTTTATTAATTCCAGCTGTTCAGCTTTCAATAAATTCATGTCAGCTTCTACTACGCCTTTTCTTTGTCACCACCCCACTAAATCTGCTTTTTTGCTTGCTTGAGTAGGTGTTTTATCTATTTGAACTGAATGGTAAGGTGCATTATCCATAATTATTGTGCGGTTCGGGGAGGTTTGTTAACAACTTAGTAAACCACTCTAAGAATTTATTTGCATCCATTTCTTCGTGTTATTCTTTTGTACTTCTGGTCTCGAATGCGAGTAGAGCATCATGCAACTTTTACAGGCTACCTAGCCCAGTCTATGGATAAAAATCTTCAAGTGGACGTAGTGTATACTGACTTTTTGAAGGCGTTCGATAAAATTAATCATAATACTCTTATTAATAAGCTTTTAGCAGCCGGCATACATGGTAATCTACTAAGATGGATACAGTCCTATATTCAGAATCGGAGCCAGTCAGTTTGCATCAAGGGATTCTCGTCACAGTTCCTCCCAATACCATCAGGCATTCCACAGGGCTCACATATAGGCCCTCCGCTATTTTCCTTTTATATAAATGACATTGGCCACGTCTTTAACCACAGTCATCATCTACTTTATGCAGACGATACTAAAATATTTAGGATTGTGGAATCTGAAGATGATGCTATTAAATTGCAAGCAGACCTGAAATCTTTAAGTAAATACTGCAGAAATAACCAATTATTTCTAAACATTGACAAATGCTACGTTATATCTTACACTCGTAAGAAGAACCAAATTAATTTTAATTATTATATAAATGGCAAACCTCTGAAAAGGATGGGCCGTATAAGAGATTTAGGAATAATGATGGACTCAAAGTTATCCTTTAATTATCACATTGATTGCATTGTGGCCGCTGCATATAATAGATTGGGCTTCATTCTTAGAGTAAGTAAACCATTTAGAAATACAAAAACACTCATAACCCTGTATTTTGCCTTTGTTCGCTCTGTTCTTGAGTTTGGTAGCACTGTTTGGAACCCCTGTTATAATGTCCACATCAACAGACTTGAAAGAGTTCAAAAAAAGTTCTTAAGATCTCTAAATTATCGTAATAATTTTGTAAATAATACATACGAAAAATCCTTAGAAGTCTATAAGATGACCACACTGCGTAATCCCCGAAAAATCTGTGACATTACTTTTCTTGATAAAATACTGAACTCGCTTAGAGATTCGTCCGCACTCCTTGAAAATATTCGATTTCCATGGCGAGTTCGACTTCCCATGCGCTCCTCACTTACACTACCGCTGTTTGTTCCACCGAAACGTCAAAAAAATATATACGAGAAACACATTCTTATATCGTTCCACCAACACGTACAACGAGGAATTCTTTGAATTTCATCTCTTTAATATGTCTCTTGCTACATTTATAAGTAAACTTAATGTAAAACTTTCAGGAGAGGCTTGAAATAAAAATAAAGTGCGTACCTATGTATATATATGTGTATATTGCATATGATATAAATATTTCGTCATACATTAGTGTACTGTAATAGTTTAATTTTGGATTTTCATTAGCTGACCATATCCTAACTTCAGAACTGTTTTAATATTGTGTTTAGGCACTATTAGGTCTATTTCATAAAAAATGTTTAACATAAGTTACTTTTGTAAAATATGTGACTGTTTGTTGCCAAAATTAAAGAAAAAAAAAACATCCACAAAACCTCCCCCTGATCCGGCATGGCAGATTATTAGGCGTCCACCCTTACCCATTGGCACTTTTGAACAAGATGCCTTGGTAGCATCCGTCCATGACTGTGGCACGTTATGATTCGAGTTCAGCCAAGTTTCATCGATAAATATGACACTACCCCAATTTGTAATTTTGTTCATTTGCCTTAAGAATGATACTCTGTGCAAAATTATGTCATATCGTTCCATCATAATTTTCCTCTTGTAGGTTTTTTTTGTATTTGAAACCAATTTGCTACATAATTCTTATTAAAGATGTTGCACTGCCACTAAACAGGCCAGCCTCTCTAAGTGATACCACAAACTTACTTACTTACTTTTGTGTTTACCGCACATTAAGAAAATCTACCAACAAAATAGAAATAGAATCTCTATTTTGTCGGTGCTAACGACTGCATTGTGAAGGCCTATCAAAAGTATTTATTAATCTGGAACAACGGAACCAAAGCGCGTTTCAGGAGACTACAGCGCCATCTCTTGACCATTGGTATAGTAGAACCAAAAACCACATCTTTATTTTTTGTAATAAAGTAACAAAAAGTATTTATTAGTCTGGAACAACGGAACCAAAGCGCGATTCAGGAGACTACAGCGCCATCTCTTGACCATTGGTGTAGTAGAACCAAAAACCACATCTTTATTTTTTGTAATAAAGTAACAGTTATAGGTATTCATATTTATAATATTTATCCACATGTTTCTAGTTTGTAT